GCAGTTCATTTTGTTTTTGGTTGGTGAATATGTTCTCTTTTTTTCGTGTTTTCGGTCACTTTCTCATTCTTGCTTCACTTGCATCCATCGAAGTCAATCCTCTACCAAAGACTAATTTATAGTCCAATATCAAACAAATCTCTTTGGTCGCGTTTGTTTGTAGAGAAACGATAGAGTGATGGACCCGATCGAAAAACTAGCAAAAAGTGTACGTAATTTTGGTTTTGGCTAGCTATCACACAGTGGCTTTTTTTTACTTTTACTCATTGGCAATATAATAAGAGAGATGAAATGGTATATATGTTTCGAGCGCGCGGGTAATGTCATCATGAATCCAATATAATATACGTCCGAATACCGATTTGCTTTGCCTTCTCCTCCCATGTTGTGTAAAAAGATCCATCACTCTTGTACTGTACCGTTTTGTGTCTTCTTGTGATTTCATTTGTTTTCCCATCTAAATGCAGTCGATTTTATTTCGAATCGAATCGTATCGTATCAACAACAATGCTTATGCGAATTACAATAGGGTTGATGCGGATCGTGTTGTATGTTTTTTTCTTGTTCATCGTCGTCGTCATCGTTGTTGTTTTTTTTTTGCCCGGTCCTTTTATTTCGACGGAATGCGCGTTTCTCCTTGTGCAGTTTGTTTTATCTTCGATGATAGCGTTGTATTTGTATACCGACATTATGAGATACATAACCGAATAACCAAAACATTTTGAGGATATGTGTGAGCTGCTCTCGGTGATATATGGTTTGGGATTGATTAGAGTTATTGAAAATGGTCGTCGATGTCTTTCTCGTTGTCGTTTTCGGTTGTTGCAAATTTCACTGTATTAAACAAAAGTAAATTATACTAATGTGTATCGTATCGTATTGAATGTCTTGGCTTTGCTCTGTATGCCCAGCAATGTAAAAAACCCAACGAAACATCGAACCAACAGTTTTACGATATATACAGTGGTTTTATCACGACACATCTGATTTATTATTATTTTGTATAAATATCTATAGTCAAAGTATAAATGCGATCTAAATAAAAGCATATGCTTACACTAGCCCTCACACTCTTCAGCAGCACAACAAACAATGAAAAACCATACTCAAATGGATGGTGTTATTTTTCGTTTGATGCACACACACACACACATATATATGTACACTTTACGAGAATTTGAATCGATCAAGAAAAGAGTATTTTCTAAGGAAATCCACCGAACGGAGCATTGTTGGATTCAACCATCCAACCAAGAAAAAAAAAACATTATACATGACAATAAACCACAGAAACAAACGAACTGTTAGCCTTTCTTGAGAATTTTTAAGTTTGTCCAGCATTCCGCATGATTATTGTTTTTGAATAAATGCATTGACTGAATGAAAAAGAGTTTGAATGCAAAATTTCATCCAAATAAAGATGGATTGGTTTTGCTTTCTCGCGATTTACCCATGAGCTTAGAATTTGGCATCTGTGTCGAATGAAAAGTGATGCGGTGAATTTTCGATCACATCGTTAAATTTATAGTTCTTCATGAGACACAATTCATTGACTGATTTACTCTAAACTTTTCCTTTGTTCGCATGCATCTATTGGCATTTTTGACAAAGATATTTTGGCAAACCAATCGTGCTCAAATTCCATGCAACTGTCAAATGTCCGAATTAATTCAATGAAAACCAATGATTGACACTTTTTTTAAAAGTATGTTCCGAAATTCGAATGAATACTGCGAAAGCTAAAAACTATTCGAGCGCATTGCGTCCACATACATTTTTGGTGTCTGTTCCCATAGATGCTGCTGCAAGTTCGTTGTAATGTGTATTGGAATCTTGGCGAGAGATGAAAGACCTCATCAACCGAAATTTCAAAAATTAAAATATATAATGTGCGTTGCGCATATGGCAAAAATATCTCGAGAGACAAAATGATCAGATCATGAAGCTAAATAAAAAGGACAAAAACAATGAGAGACAAATATAAAAACCAAATGGAAACAAACAAAACAACACAACGAATATATATTGGATGTTTTATCCATAATTTAAATATGAGATTACATGACAATAAACGACGACAAAGAGCAATAAGCGGCACTGGTGCTGTGCGGTCGACAATAGCATTGCATGCTCACTACGATAAAAAGGAAGAGAGCGACCGAAATAAATATGTAATATAATAAACAATAATGATAATAACAGTTATACAGTTATAACAATAACAATAATCATAGTCGTAGATAACGAAACAAACATACATTTGAATGAAATGAGAACGCATACACAAATAAACGCGGTCGCACTAGCTGCATATCGCACCCACATCAAAAGCGTCAATTTGAACCGCGCGCGCAATCAACTCAAATCAACCTTTTACTTTTTACTGCTATTCATTTTTGCGTACGCGTGCTAAATTCATATTATTTCGTATATATTTTTTTTTTTTTGGCTCTTTGGTTTTACATTGAAGGTAATACACGATGAATACACGCTTGCACACACACACTCACGTTTGATTGTGAAGAGACAACGCATATTTATGATTATATCCAATGCATGTGCCGCAATATTACACAATGCCAATGTGCGTCCATACACAAAAATTGAAACCCCAACGGTGCTATTAGAAAATACTCTTCCATCAATTCAAATAATACCATCACCAATATGCTGTTGTCTGTCTAATTCGTTTGTCATTTCATCTCTCTATTTTTTTTCCTCTCTCGTACATAAACATAAATACTCACACTACCATTCTCTTCCTTCGTTTCTGACTTTTTTCTATCCACCACTTTTTCATCATCATCCGAATGATTGCCATTGTCGTGGTCGTTAACCATACATATGTTGTTTGCACTGCAATTTCATCTTTGCGAACATACGCAAATATCATGCTCACATATCTATTGGAATCGTGATAGAATGCTGTTCAAGAAATAAAATTATAAAATATACAAAGTAAATCGCCATTGATCCCGGTGAACATTTTCCTTAATATATGTATTTTAATATTTGCTATTATGTCCAGCACCTTATTCTCATTCGAACGCATCAAAGGTTCACACACACACAAACACATACACACGCGTCCGAATATTCTAATATCGAGCACTGACATTGTGTATTGTTCAACGTGTGGATTGGTGCTGGTGATGAAGCTACCATTAGAACGTACGTGATTATTTGACAAGATAAAATACTATCCGATTTTTGTTCATCTAATTACATTTCGTGTGCAAAATTGGTCGATGCTGTTGTTTTCTTTTCCACTTTTTTTTCCTTTTCTCTTTCACTTTTTGTGGCACACACACAACATATTTAGTATGTCCGTTTCTATTTGCGTAAGTGAACAAGGATGAACAAAGGATGAAACAAAAAAAAAATGTGCCGCAATAAACATTTGTTTTTATGGTCGTCGTCAAAAATTATTACGACGTGTAATGTCCACGTTTTAATATAAACTACAACTAGGGTTACGAAGCCGCGTTAATGCCTAACTTGATAGCTTTTACCGGGATTTTGTGTGCTTCGATTTTGTGTGTGTGTCTTTTTTCTTTCATCGATTCGTTCTTCAAATTGAGCGCCATACATAGAGTGCATATCGGAAACTGTCTGTCCAACAAATAGGATAAAAGAAATCTCGCTGATATGTATCTACAGCTGAATGTATTTCCCTTCTTCACTTTTATTTATTTTTATTATTATATGGAAGGTGTAATATGTATGCCATTCCCTCCTGTATGACAAGAGGGAGAGCTAAACGATCTCCAATTCACCTCTTTTAGTTGTTTTTTTTTTTCTCTCTCTCCAATTCGCCGGCATTGTTATTAGAACGCGGCGTTCATAGCTATACTTTTTTCCCTACGTTTCACTTTTAATTCTCAGATTCGGTGTAAAAAGATGTCGGAAATAGACACATTCATGTCGATACACACACGTTTCTACCTGAGAGATGGATGAATAATATAGAACAGGATGTGGCTATTCCAAAGCTACCAGTAGTGAGAGACGAATGAAGTTGAAGCAAATATTTGCGTTCGATACAAATGCACGTTACATTGCTCATAAAGCAAATGGCAACAACCAGCAAAGCAGAACTATACGTATATAAATCGCATTATCCTCGTTCACAAAATCACGAGAAAAATAAAAGATGACTCTCATACTTGCTCTTTCTATCGCTATCTCTTTTCATCTTGTGCCATGAATGGCATGGAATGCGTGAGCTAGAAAGAAAGTAGACAGGTCGAACAATAGGGTGAATATAAAAACTAGAAGAGTGAAGAGAAATGAAGAGAAAGAAAAAACAAAAGCATCGAAAAATTTCACTGACGCAGTCCATTATCGTGTACAAGCAAACGAAGTGGATGCGATAACACATTTAACTATTCGTCCTTCCATCTCTCTCTCTATCCATCTCTATTTTCTGCCTTCTTTCCACAATTCGTTCGTAATGTCTCTGAATCCCATCCATTCATTTAAAAGGTATCTATATTTTGTTAAGTGAAGGAATTCGTTCCGACAAACCAAGTAAAATCGGTGGTTAAGCATCCCAAGAGAGACGCGCAACCACTGTACAATTGATCGAGCGCATTTTTGCTGTTACGTCCACAACCGAAGACAAATTGAAACAAAAATCACACACATACAAACAAGCATACTTCACTTCACTTGGTATCGGTATACTTTTCATTCAATCTGTTTTGCATTTCCTGTACGGTGAAACAAAAGGGATGAAGCTATTCCAAATTCAATCCCAAAATGACGTTGATTTTATAGTGATTTATCCATTTCAAAAAGCACCACTAAAAATTAAAAAAAAAATCCCATCCATGGTTTGATTCATATATATGTATAGATCAATAACCATCAATATACTTGCATGAATTTTGGTAGATCTTCTTTGGCATCATTTTGAACAAATCATTACAATTGAACTTTGAAACTCTGTCTATTTCTTGAATCAAATTAACATGTATATTTTTTTCATCTCGTTTCAGACAATGACGTTGAAAATCCTGATGGGTTGTTAAATGAAAATCAAAGTCATGCGAATACAGTGAATGACTCGCCATTATCCGAATCAGCTGCCATTGAAGAGCAATCACCAACATCCGATATCATTGCCGAAGACTCAACGACACAAATCAAAAGTCAAGTGCCACGAATTGATGCAATTAACGAGAAGCAACTCAATTCGTCCATTGACAGTCGTCGCCATCATCTTAATCAACGTCAATTGCCAGCAATCGATGTTGAGCGCAATATTCCAGCCTCATTTATCCACGATACAAATAATGCTGTAGCCGAACGGGCCGAAAGGTAAGCAACCTCATTTTTATATATGTATTTGTACAATTATTGGTCTCGTTTTCAACCAAACAATGATTTTTTTTTTTTACTATTAAAATAAAACTGTACAATTTATATGCATACAAGTTTACATATATGTTGATTCATGCATTTACTGCCTTACATTCATACGGTGGTGAATGTTACGTTGAATTTCAGGCGCCTCGACAATTTTCGTTGTTGTGATCACACGCTATAAATTCAAATTTAATACTTGCAAGTCGATTTATTCGTTTATTTGCTGCTTATTTTTTCGTGATTGGGGTTGGTTTGCATTTTTTTCATAAATAATTTGTATGCGAGATGTTAAATGGAACTGTTGAAAATTAAAATCGAAAATCACCACAACCAAACTAATTTTGTGCTGATGAATATTAACCGGGGGAAGACTAATTAATTAATTCAACGAATTTAGTAGCAACAAAAAAATGAAAATTGAAATAAAATAAGCGATGCTGACATTCCATGGTAACCACCTAACTGGTGGTAAAACATAGCGTAGTATTTTCAACTAAATGAAATTTCGTTACTCATTGCATCGATGTGATTTTGAGTAAATTAAAAAAAAAAACACACGCATAATTCCAGGTCTGATGTGTCTTTTGCTGTGCGCATAATATTTTCAATCAGACATATTTTGTATATTTTTAACAGTTTGCTGTTGTTTTTCACACGAATCATTTGGTCGAGATTACAAAATAGTGAAAAAACATGGAATCCTGTAAACAAAAAAATTTATTGTACATAAATGTTGTGGGAGTTTTTTTTCGTTGGTTGGTTGTTTGGTTGGTATGTGTCGTTCTCCTTTCGTCTCGCTGTTTCAGTCTTTTTTTTTACTCCAACATTTCAATTATTTTGTACAAAATACGCAAACTCATTAATAAATATTCTCTTTTGGTACCAATCTACATTAAGTGTAAACAACCGTCCATATGCCGTCCATAAACATACACTCTCATCATACTGGCGGAATGGTACATAAACAAAATCGATGCCAGTGAACAAACCAAACACACAGCAAATAAATTTTAATATTCCGAAACAAAATAACAAATCAAAAAATTCAATCGCATCAATAAATTTACCGTATTAATTAACAGTAACAACGCATCGGTCGTCGAAAGATAACAAAAAAAAAAAAAAAATAACGAGATTAAATAAAATGAATGAGCGAGTTTAAAAAAACGAACACGCCGTGAAATGGCGCCTAAAATTCGGTAAATGTTTAAAATTTGTAAATTGTAATCGAAATGATGAAATTTATTTTTCACAGTTTTTCCACCAATTTCATCACACATAATCGATGCAATTAACTGATGCACTCGCCAAGCGATGTGAGAATGATTCCCGAAACATTTGATCCGATTCGATTTTAATTTGTTGTTGCATTCATTTCCAGCGCTGATGATGATCTGTCTCGAATGTTTGATTACATTTTTTTTCTATTCTTCTTGGAAAAAAATCTGTAAAAAAGTGAAAGAAAACGTGTTTTTTGTTTTTATTTGGCGCCACAGATTTTGACATGAAACTATTGACGCGAACTGTTTATGCAAGACGAATGAAAAACAATTCTGTTTATGGTTGAGTGTTGATTCGTCAGCAATTCTTTATTATTCTGCCTCAGAGAGTGTCTAACGATGAATGACAGAGCATCGCCTAACATAGAAGCATTTTTTTTTGTTGTTTTCGTATGTATGCAGCACAAACAACAGATGGATGCATGCAAAGCGCCGAATTCTCCGTCTTTTCAATACATCGCTTGAAACTAAAACATTTGGTTTATCGTGGCCTTTCCCCGCCATTCTCTTTTTCCATGCGGTTTGAAACGTATGTGTATAGTCGCTTCGGTATAATTGTGATTGTGATCGTATGCACAAATACATATATGTGCGATGATACCAAAAGGAGTAACAATCAACATTTGCTTCGATTCTCCAGCTATACGTGTTTCGCTCATTCTCTCATTTCTTTCCCTTTCCCTTCTATCCGTTCGGATTTTTTTGTACACACAATAACATGCCAAACCCATCCGTCCATTTATAAAAGCTAATCTCTTACTCGATGCATACAGTTACACACGTCCACAACCATCCGAACCACACGGACAAAATGAGGCACGACACGAACCTTCATATTGGAAACGCACCGCAAAAGCGACGACGGTCACAGCGACAATGACGACAGCGACGACGTAACGTTCACTGCATGCGAACTCCGTGTGTTGAATATGACGAGTGAGTGAATGAGTGAGCGCAATATTTTGTTGTGTGTTGATGTTTTTTTGGTTCTGTATTTTTCATCATTTTCGTATCGCGTTGACGCGCTTCATGTGTTGATGTTATGCATTCAATCCATCCAAAATTCGGAGTCAGTTGTGAATAGGCAGCCGGTCGAGAAAGAGCGTTTTATACATTTCGGCGTTTCAATAGCATTTCAATTACCATTTAACACTGTTGAACATAAATCGGAGAGTGTTTGAAATAAGCAACGAGTCTGTGTCTCTTTTATCCTGTGTATATTCACTGTGCTGTGTATTGTGTTCTGTTTTCATTTCATTTTGTACACTCTCGCGTAAAGCGTTCATCGATTATATGTATATGCTCGATGGCGATATCGAATTATATGTTAAAGCATATCAAGTGCGTTTGGATATTTGTGGAATTGGTTCCATTGTGAAGCGTCATCATCGCAGTAGTCGTCATATTGGAATTATGTGTAGTTTTTACGAATCGACACATTAAGTTAAAATTAAGAGAAACGAATGAAGAAAGAGCCAAAGCATAAATGTGGAAAATGGATTGTGTGTAGTTGTGTGTGGTAGGTCAGAGCAGCAAGAGCAAACTACTTTGGGAAATATACACATTTAAAAAAAAAACATCAAATGGAAATGTATACGCATTTTATGCGAGTCGAAGGAGAATTATGTGTCTGAATTGTGACTAGAAAAAAATGAAAAAATAAAAAAGCTTTTTAAACGTGTATGAAATCAACGATCTCTTTGTTTATGCTATTTACAAATTCAAAATGTTTTAGTTTCACCTCGGCCTGAAATATAAATAAAAGATATAGAGAAAAAACGACGATCAAAAATATTTGTGCAATAATCGAGAGATAAAAAAAGAAAATTTTAACAAATATCTATAATATAATAAATACGTCAATTATTGATTTAAATCGTCGATTCAAAAGACTTTTGATATGAAAAATTTGCTGTGAATACGGTTAAATAAAATTTAACCAATATTTTTAAATACCAAAAAAAAAAAAAAAATTTCGAATCAAGTGATTTTTTGAGAAACAACGCAAATGCATCAACTAGACCAAATGATGTTACACGAAGCGGTTATGTTGGAAATTTATCGTCAAGCACTCAGTGCAAGGTAAATACAAACATAAAATGTGAATTAGTTGGGCTTAGTTCGGTAAAGCATGAATTTGAAATGTTTTCAATGCGATTGAATTGAGAGATTTACTAAATAATTTTATCTTGTTTGGTTGAAAACAGTGAATCCAAGCAAAACTATTTGTATTTAAATTTATTTTATTTTTTTATGATTATTTTGTGCTGATGTAATTTTTTGTGTTTTTTTTCTCGTATTTTTTTTTATAGAGATACTTCAAGCCCGAGATGTTCGTCACGTAATTCGTCAAACGGTGGAGGAAGATGTCCTTCGGCCGATTCAAATTATTCTGATCGTCAATCATCAAATGCGGCTGGTAGCACAGCGACAAGTCCGCTTGCATTACCGATTCCACCGATTTTACCAGCTGCTGCATTGTTACCATCACAATCAGCAGCAATGGCCGCATACTTGGGCGCTGCTGCAGTTGCGGCTCAACAGAATCGTTTGTTACTAGGCGGACATGCATTAGGTCTGGGACGAGATGCATCACCACCATTTTTGCCATTACAATCACCAATTGGTGGTGATACGCCCGTTCTCGATTTTAGTACAAAGCGTAAATCACAGGACTTTGATGACATCGATCGAGACCAACACAACAAAAGCAATGACGACGATGATAGTAATCTAAAATCAGACAATGATCCGCTTGATTTGTCTGTGTCACGTAAAAGGTGTAATAATTCACCTCCGTTGCCACCGCCCGCATCACATGGCCGAAAATTGTCGCGAACAATGGACTACAAACCACCCATTGGTTCGCCTTGGTCATCTCCATCAATTGCACCGTACTTTGCTGGCACAAATGCATCTACAACTAGTCCTTCGCCAAAAACACATCATCTTTCGCATGCATCGCAACACCAATCCGAATGGAATGGTTTGAAAAATAAAATGAGTACACCGAATGATGCAACCAAGGCTTTGGAAAAAATGTCCGAATTGAGTCGATTGGGTGGCAATGAAGTTGGCCGTCAATCAACTACAGGAAGTTCATCAAGCAATACACCGAGCACTGGTCGTCACAGTGCTTGGCAATCGCATTGGCTAAACAAAGGTGCCGATTCAGTGAAAGATGTGTTCAAATGTGTGTGGTGTAAGCAAAGTTTTCCAACACTCGAAACGCTAACAATTCATATGAAAGAGACTCAACATCTTGGCGTTAATATGGATGGCCAACGCGGTCATAATCATCAGTCACAACAACCTCATAATTCGCATCCAAATCAAAATCATGCAGCTTCAAATTCATCGTCATCCACATCAAGTTCAACATCAAAAGCTGATCTCCATTTAATGATAAAAGAAACGATGCCATTACCACGTAAACTGGTTCGTGGCCAAGATGTTTGGTTGGGAAAGGGAGCCGAACAAACGCGTCAAATCCTAAAATGTATGTGGTGTGGCCAAAGCTTCCGGTCATTATCCGAAATGACAACGCACATGCAACAGACACAACATTACACAAATATTATATCTCAGGAGCAAATTATTTCGTGGAAGTCTTCCGACGATATGAAAGGTGGTTCCAGTGGTGGTGGTGCCAATAATAGTAGCTCGAATGGTTCAAATTCGGCCAGCGGAAATATAAGTACAGTGAGTGCGGTGCTAACGTGCAAAGTATGCGATCAGGCATTTTCATCGTTAAAAGACTTGAGCAATCACATGGTTAAAAATGCACATTACAAAGAGCACATTATGCGATCAATATCGGAAAGCGGCGGTCGACGTCGTCAAACACGTGAAAAACGAAAAAAGTCATTGCCTGTGCGAAAATTATTAGAGATTGAACGTGCACAAAATGAATATAAAAATGGTGATAATTCACCAATAACAAAAACATTGCGAGATGCTGGCTCTGGACGAATCACATGTGAAAAATGCGGCGATAAAATTGATACAAACGTTTTCGTTGAACATATCCGTCAATGTATTGGTGCGGCCGCCGAATCGAGTGCACAAAGGAATCTATTAAAAAATAACATACTAATGCCAGACTCAATTCCAAGAGATGGTCGCAAGAGTATTGGTGGCGATGATAGTAACGCATCACAAAGTTCTCGTCTAATGTCACCGAATTTGTCATCAAAAGAGGGTTCAAGCACATCCGGTGATAAGACTGGTTCACCGTCAGTTCTGAATGCAATCGAACAACTGATTGAAAAAAGTTTTGACACACGTAGTCGACATGTTACTAGTAATTTCACTGCAAACAGTCAACAAAATGCACCGCTCGGATCAAGCATACTGAAACGTTTAGGCATTGACGAAAGTGTTGATTATACAAAACCATTAATCGATACACAAACCATGAATTTGCTACGGGGTTTCTCTCAACAAAGCGCGTCCAGCACATACAGTCATCGCGAGCGAAGTGCAAGCGAATCAAGTTCAGTATCCGATCGTGGTAGTAGCGTTATAGAAACATCAATGACCCCGGAACGTAAAACAGACTCTGTGAACAATGGTCGACCTCGCGATACGCCCGATAAATGTAGCCAATATGGTGATGATAACGATGAAAATGAAGCAATTTCACTTAAAATAAAAACAGACCCCGAAGATAATCAAGACAAAGCCAAATCAACAAGCAAAGACACCGATATGTCTTCCATGTCAATAAAAAAAGAAATGACAGACGACGAAAATGATCAAGATGACAGGTCTGAAAATGCAAACGAACGACGTGCTGGTGCAATGTTAAGTCCTGCATTAAGTTCAAAGCGGTCAAATTCGGGCGATGAACAGCGAACACCACTTGCAAGTCCAAACAGTGATGCCCTATCACCGCGATCAACACCTGAAACTAATCCAAAAAAGTCGAAATCATCAATTCCGACCAATAGCTTGGGTGCATTATCGTCTATGTTTGACAGTTTGGCTGGTACTGCATCTACGAAAACCGTTGAAAGTGGCAAGAAAAACAATTCAAATCCATTAGCCGCGCTACAGAAGTTGTGTGATAAAACGGAAAATGCCCCCATAAATAAGGCAAACAACAGTCAAAATTTGGCCGTACCGGTACAACAGAATAATACACCAAGCACTGCGTCTGGTGCAATGTTAGCATTCAGTTGGGCTTGTAATGATGGAATGGTCAATGCGGCCGATTCAGCAATCAAGTGTGCATTTTGTGATACGCCATTCTCATCAAAAGGCGCCTATCGACATCATTTATCCAAGGTACATTTTGTTAAAGACGATAATCTACTTGATCCGATAATTGCCAAAGCTCAAAAACTGTCAGCCTCACGTCGAACACCACCGTCACAAGCCCATTCACCGCGAAGTGTATCAAGCTCAACCAGCAGCAGTGGAAATGGTTTGCCAAATAATCGCCTTTCGAAAAGCCCAACACCGCCAGCATCTGCATTGAATTCGCATCAATCCACATCAAATGCTTCGCAATCATCCACTTCAGGTGCAAATTTCGAAGAAAGTCCACATTCAAAATTTCTCAAGTACACCGAACTAGCGAAACAATTATCATCAAAATATGTCTGACATTCCAAATCATAAAAGAGAACCAAATCATAAGCTATAAGTTCATTTCGATTTATAAAATGAGAAGAGAAACAAGCACACAATAATGATCAAACAAATGTTTCTATACGCAATCTTGAAAACAATACTATTATTATGAATAAAATGTAAGTTTGCATTGCAAGTTGGGAAGCGAAGCAAAACAAAACACACACACAAAAAAAAACAAGTTATACGTAAAATTCGTGCAACATTTCGATTTGCATATTCTGTAGCTCTTTTATTCAATACTTAAGCTTGCTTACAATTTCAGATAGCAAATATGAAAGTTGATACAATTTTTTTTTGTCTTTTTCTTGAATGAAATTTAGCAATTATAAACTCGTCGTATAATTTTATGCTGATGTAAAAAAAAGAATAACGATGAGATTCGATAAACATTAAACGATTGCTATACGTATTCTGAAATTAAGATTTCATGCATATTTTACAAAATACAAACCAATTTTGTTTCCGTGTATTAATAGCGGTAATAAACCTTTAAAAAAACAAATACACAAAAATAAACTTATTATTGTAAAAAAAAGATATAAAGAAACATATCCAGAAAAGATAACTCTTGAAAGGGAAAGTTGAGCACAATCCAACAATTCAACTAGATTTTGATTTGGATCATTAAGAAAAGAACAACTTAACCAAATCTATAAAGGTCTTGGATAAGTTTGTGATGGCACATATCGAAACTAAGAACGGAAGTATTATATTCCTGTGGACAAAATAACATACAGAAAAAAAAACTTAAAATTTCCTTTCTTAACGAAAAACAAATATTATTCAATAGTGCATAATTTGATCCTTAATGTATTCCACTATGTCTGGCATATTAAAAACTGAATTCATTGACAAAAATTGATCGAAGAAAAAATGGCACGAAAAGTTCTCTACTACAAATTATAAATTAATAAAAATGAAGAAAACAAGCAAACTTAATTAAGCTTAAGAAAAAATGTATTATTAATAAAGTATTTCCGATAATTTTATTAGTACTATTGCCGTAAATGTATTTTTAAGATATCTTTCACACATACACACATACGCAATGTAGACATCGTACTGAATGCAAACAAAAAAAAAGTGCAGAAGGGACCGTGTTTTGGTAGAAGAAAAATGACAAAAGAGATCATTAACAAAGAGCACAATCGTTTGTGAGAATTTGTCACCAAATACCATTTTCATCAAATGCTTGGAATGCCGTGCCATGTACATATGACAACAAAATGACTAAGTTACGAACTAAACAAAAATAAAGTATACAATTTTTAAAACAAATATATGGAAGACAAACAAATCCTCCGATTATTTTTACCAATATAATATGGCCAATTTTGAATGAACACCGTCATTCAATCAACTTCAAATTCATTTCAAATGTTTACCAAAAAAAAAAAAAATTACTAGACGCAAAATTAAATAAGCAAAAACCACAACCGTTTGAAACCATCTGGAGTTATACGTTCAGATTCGTTGGGAAATATATGAACGGCTAATCTAAAAAAATTATTTATATCTAACTAAGCTAAATTTATTGAAATTTTTAAATAAAGTAATCAAAGTTTGAACATTTCAGCGCATATAAAAATAAAAATGGAATGAAGATAATAGTAACGCAGTTATACGAAAAAAAAAATAGATTTTGAAGCCGATAACAAGGATGGATGATGGTTAAATCTCATTTAAGCTCACCACACAAAACATAATGTATACCGATTTTACTTGTTTTTAAAATCTTTTTTCGATTAGAGCAAAACAAACAAAAAAACAATCTATTTCAAAGAATTTTCATTAAATAAAGAGAGAAAAAATGTTTTAATGTGTAAAACCAACCAATATACGATTAAATCAATAAAAAAAATATACTACCGAGTATACGTTCTGAAAGATGAAACAAAAACACCATAGTCAAAATGATGTTGATTAATATTGCAATAAAGTTTTCAACTGAGATGAAAATATAAAACAACAATATGATTTGGAAAATAAAACAACAACAACAAAAAAATCAGTTTTTCTCTTTCCTAGATGCTAATCCTACCGTTCATTTTTCTTGGGTCATGCACTTGGAAATGACCAATTTTCATATTGTGTTTAAGTCTGAATAGAGTCGATGTTTTCGGAAACAGTTCGTAATCATTTCTATATGAAAATTGTTCTTCTTTTTCATCGAAAATTTGTTGGATGTGCAATTGCAAACGAACTCCAAATTATACGCATTGAAAAGATGATATTTGAATCAGCGATACGAAGCAAATAAGTATACAAACAATCAACAAATGAAACAAAAAAAAAAACACGTATACGTACTACTCTCGCTAGTTAAAATAAACTAAATCTATATGGTAACTGACAAGCTATAGTGTTGTATACAATATTTAATTAATAAAAACAAAACAAGAACAAACTTATTAAATTATAACTATTATCTAACATATTTTAACCAGAAAACAAATGGATCGCGCAAAGCAAAAGTTATGTCTTACGTGTAATATTCAAATATGAGATGAATTCTAATAAACTTACCATTTAAATTACTTAATTTAAAACAAAAAACAATGAAAACATGTGTAATAAATTTAGACAAGATGAACATTCAATAAAAATATCGAAAATTCTCAATTCAAGCTTATCATTATTTGGCATTCGTTTCGCATATTTGTTTTCAGCAGCAAAAAGATTTATATTAATCTTCACGAAGTTTGGTAAGATAAAACATACTAAATGGGTTTTATTTGATTTTAGCTATACAAGATTAAACCATTTCCAATACACTTTTAAAATTGGTAAACAAAAAAGTATACCGATCAGTAATTTCGTTCTGATAATCTTATAAAATTGCAAATGGATCATATTAATTCAATGACGATTAAAATCGTAAACAATGAAATCGAAATATTTCGTTTTACCTGCATATTAAGTATATTTTCTGCTTTGTATATTGCGTCAATTCTTTTATGCGGTCACAAGTTTAAACTTCTTTAAATCCATTTAAAATCAAGTGTAAATATGGTAAGTTTGAATAGAAAGAACCGCCGAAAATGAAAAAAAAAACTCACGCAAACTCACGCGAGTCGCGGCTACTGTGAAGATGGAGAAGCCGCGTTTGTTCTTTGTCATCAAATATTTGTTAGATTACTGCTTGACATTCGTTTTAACTGTTTGCGACATCAGTAAATATCAGCCCAATGTAAATATTTGAAAATAACTTTTTTGTATATTTCTTGCTTTTGTAAATCTTTTGGTTGTCGTTTGTTTTACTGGCAGAATTACGAGTTCTGTTGTAATTCATAGATTTAGAATGCAAAAATATTTCAAAATTGATAATTTCAATTCGATAAAACAAAAAGTATCCGTTGGACTGATCGTATCCACTTTCACACGTGTGTGTACATATCTCCAATTTCACATCCATTCCAGAAATGACGGTATATTCAAAGTTTGAATTTCAAACGAATATTTACAAGCAAAACATTGAAAGATTTATCGTTTACTAATAACTGCCCTAACTTCGGGAAAACTCCTATTTCAGCTATAAAATGATTAAAAATGATATCACTTTTAGACCAAAGTTTTACTATTGAGTCAATATGTTGTGAATCATTCTGTGACCAAAATGATGCAAACTCATAATCATTTTTATCTTCCGATCGATATACTGGAAGTTAATCGTAAATGATACCTGTATAGAGAGAATGTTAGTAAGTTTCTAGAACATTCAAATAAAATAAATTTTGAAAATAATGAAATTCATAATTTTCAAACGAATATTTATTTCCCAATTTATTAGTTTAATTCAAGCTAACCATTTAACTTCAAATGTAAACATGTTAATTGAACAATGATAAAAGAACCACTGAAAATTCAAAAAAATTACGTGAGCCGTTGCTATTCTGAAGATGGAGATGCCGCGTTTCTTCTTTTTTTATCAACTATTAGTTAGCTTACTGCATGACATTCGTTTTAACTGCTTGCGCCATCAGTAAATATGAGTTAAACGTAAATATTTGATTTTATTCGAATATCAACAGTAAAATGTTAGAATCAATTCAATGATAATATTTGTTACTTTTCCAAATCTCTTGAGTTAGTAAAAGTAAATAAAATTCTATTCTTTTTGAATTTGACTTGTGATGCGGTTCATATTTGTATATTTGCGGAACAAACCCTGTCTTTATTTCATATGACATTGAATGTGAGTGGAATGTCAAAAGAACAAAACGCATGTCCACGGTATAGCTGTCAAATTACGTCTCACATAGTTGTGATGTAAATCGGATAAAAGTGAATCGAAAAGAGAGTTTTGTTTGACGAAAATTTGAAGAAAATCCTTATTAGAAGCGACTTAATCGCTTTTAGTTTGACTTGAAAAATTTGTAGTATCTAGTACAAAGAGTAACCAATGTGAGAAAATGTCATCAAAAATTTGCTTTCAAAACCAATTATAATTGTTAAAATATCAAAGAAAATGTTTAGATTTGTTCTAAATGGTAGTTTGCAACATAATAAAAGCACCTTGATTAGATCAATTTTGGTAACTAAAAGTACAACTATTTTCCGAAGGAAACATTTATTCTATTAAATTTAATTCATCCAACCAGTATTCAACGAAACAATTGCCCAAAAAAGTTCTGGCAACCGAACCGAAAGCGATTGATGATCTTAAGCCGCATCACAAATATGGTGGAAATGAAAAATATTCATCAGATCAATTGCACACATTGAAAACGGTGAGCTTTGACGAAATTCGTGTGGAAACTATTGCACAAGAAATACCAAATATCGTTCAAAATGCAGCGGTGGTTGAACAGAAGAAACCGATCATCAACTGGGAACCAACACCACTAAGTGACTCATCGAAGTTGATAAATCAATATTTGATGCTATCGAAAATTCGTTTAACCAGTAAGTTTTGTTATTGGTCACTAGAATTATTGGCAAATACATCATGAACGAGTGACAAAGTTTTTTTTTGTTATGTAACATTTTAGCTTTGGTCGTTATAACGACAATGGTGGGATATGGAATAGCTCCCGCTCCATTCGATCCATCCACGTTTCTGTACTGCACAGTGGGCACTGGTCTATGTTCAGCTGCGGCGAATGCTGTAAATCAGTACCATGAAGTTCCATTCGATGCCCAAATGGCACGAACGAAAAATCGAGTTCTCGTCAGAGGGCAACTGACACCGTTGCATTCAATCAATTTCGCAATTGCATCGGCTTTAATTGGAAGTGGTCTGTTATATTTTGGAGTGAATGGATATGCAGCCGCACTAGGGGCAGGCAATTTGTTTCTATATACCTCAGTTTATACGCCAATGAAGCGATTTAGTATTTTAAATACATGGGTGGGATCTGTCGGTAAGAGTAGTTTGTGAACAAGCCTCGCATAAAATTGCTCGTGTGAATCGAGAATCAAACAAATGTTCATGTTTTTTAGTGGGCGCAATACCTCCAGTCATCGGCTGGGTTGGTTGTAGTGGTGCGTTTGAGCCTGGTTGTTTTCTATTGGCAGCGTTGCTTTACTCATGGCAATTTCCTCACTTTAATGCACTTTCGTGGAATTTAAGACCGGATTATTCAAGAGCTGGATACAGAATGATGGCGGTCACAGATCCAGCACTCTGTCGGCGAACAGCATTGAGGCATACGGTCGCATTGAGTGTTTTCTCAGCATTGGCTCCAGTACTTGATGTAACCAATATTTGGTTTGCTCTAGAAATGCTGCCGTTAAATGCGTACTTTATTTACTTAGGTAAAGAAAACATCAGCAGACAACCACAATTTATGAATTTAACGCATTTATATGTTATTTGATTTCAGCTTACAAATTTTATCAAAAATCTGACAGTGGAAGTTCACGGAAATTGTTTCGATTCTCATTGATTCAACTACCAGTTTTAATGATATTGTTCTTTGTAAATAAGAAAGAATGGATAAGCAAGAAAGAGACTATAGGAAAATTAACTGCAGCACCATTAGCAACTGATGCATCAGCCATGATTGCACCAACGATAAAAGCTATTCTGTAAATAGATTATCACTTATAGAATAGGTTTTTAAAATAAAGCAATTGTAGTATATATTTGAAGAAAAAAGCCTTTTTCTGAGACCGATTGTGTTTTTGAAGAAAAAAAAAGATGGAAATAAAGATAAAGAACAAATTATTCAATTTTCAAACATATTCATACAATTTTTTTTGGTGTTATATAAACAGTCTTCCAAAGCAGATTGAACCTGTCAACACGAACGATTTGCGCTGGCAACACTGTCGAACCGAAATTACACCGCCAAAATTGCGCATAACCTCAAATGTCATTTTACCGATGCCATCGTTTGTATATTTCATTTCACATAAACGTCTGCCAAACAATAACGCACTATTTGAACCAAAGGTGAAAAAATACCGTACTGTGCATACGTTTGTTGGATTATTTTGTTACTTTTTCCTTTCATTTTGTTGCGTGATTTCTTGAAAAAAAGTGATTCATCAAAATGAATTTATTCGAAATTACCCTCGACCAGCACATGGACATGATAGAATACGCTGGAAATACGCTAGACAAACATGATTTAATAGACAGTTCAGCACCCAGTTTAGTTGAAGTTCGTATTTTATTATCTATTTTCTTTTGAAATGTTGTATTGTATTCTTGTTTGTTAATTGTTTGTGGCAGGTTACAGGCATAAGTCAACATCATATGGCTACTGCGAGTGGTCTTAGCGAATATGATTATCAAAATTTATCGAATTTGACTTTGGGGTTGAATAACCTTAATCAACTGGAGTTAGTCAGCAAAATTCCAATTCCACCCGAAATTATGGAACATTTCAGGAGTATGTGGATTTGTATTTGTGTTTTTTCTTTCGATCTCATTGCATTATTTTTTTTCACATTTCACCGAACATAGATATCAAATGTCATTGTATGATGGGGCTTTTTTCGGAAATCGGACGGGCTTGGTTGACAATTGACTCGGATATATACGTATGTTTGTTTTTGAATTCTGATTTTAGAACTGATAAAATCCACTTTATCGAAAACAATTTTTACAATTGTCCAACAGATTTGGAGTTATGAACATGGTCGTGATGTTGCTTATTACGATGGACTGACTGATTTAATTGTTAGCGTTGGTTTAGTGAAACCAAAAGCCGGTGTATTTGTATCAGATGTAAAATATCTACTAGTTTTAACGACGCCAGTTGAAATTGTGATTTTGGGCGTAACATTCGGCGATCAGACAATTTCGTTGGGTTCATCAAACCCATACGATGAGATGCAATTGATGAACAAACCAATTTTCATTTTGAGCACAGACAATGTTGCCATCACCACAATTGTTGGGACAGATGATTCACGTATCTTTTTGGGTGGACGTGATGGTAACTTATATGAAATTTCATATCAAAACGAGCCAAGTTGGTTTGGCAAACGTTGCAAAAAAATCAACCATTCGCAAAGTGTTGTGTCCTACATTGTTCCTGGATTTCTGAAATTCTTCTCGGAAGATGATTCGATTGCGAAAATTGTAGTCGACTCAACTCGACAATTGCTGTATGCATTAACTGAAAAAGGTGCAATTGAAGCTTGGTATATTGGTGCAGATGTGAATTCGATTCGACGTATTGCACGTATCTCACAAAATGATATCGTACATCAAGCAAGCGCTGTTTTAAAGTAAACACACAAGCTCAACATCTATTTTTTTAAATTAATAATATAAATTTTTTTGTTGTTGTTGTTTTTTTCAGAACCGTTGATGCAACAGTATTCAAACCAATAGTATCGATAAGTGCCCTGAAATCGCAAGACTGTTTGAATTTACACTTAATTGCAGTGACCCAGTCAGGTGTTCGATTGTATTTTTCAACAGTTTCATTACTTGATGTGTCCAATGCACAACAATTTGCGAATTTACCAGGCGGCGAAAGACTTGGGGATAATACACAACCAAACAACTTGTATTTGCAACATGTTCGTTTACCACCAGGGTATACAGCCACCGCAACGAGTGGAAAACCAAAACTTGTTCATTCCTCATACCATAGCAATGGCACAGTGTTGATGGTGTCGTCTGCACAACAGGATCAAGATTTATTGTGGTCATTGAGTTCAGAGCCATTTCCAATGCGGCCATATTTAGCAGAATCGTCAACTGTTTTACCATTAGACGGACAGGTTTGGGCCATTGCAGAGATAATAACGCCCAATAATGAAAAATCCTTGAATATGCCATTGAAAAATGATCGAACGAATACAAAAATTGTTCTACTTACAAACCAAGGAGCCTACATTGTGGCGCTGATAAAACCAATGGGACTTCTCATGCAACTTTTGACGGTGTGTCATGGTCCACATCATGATGCCATTAAAAACTATTTTCAAGTTCAGTCCGAATCACAAGCTTGCTTATCAGCTCTACTTATTGCATGCATGGAAGCGTACAGAGGCACTGAAATCGGTCTGTGGGCAACACAAGCATTCATTCTATATGGCGGTGAACCACAATTAGCTAATCGAAATCAACTTTACAGCACATTTAATGGTAACATAAATTTTTTATATTTTTACTTATTTTCTAGCAGTGCTTTAAAACCTTATTTTTTACAGAAACACAAGGTGGAAATCCAAATATAATGGTTTCAACACCATATCCAATGGGACAACAGCAAATGTCGGGTATTGCATTCAGCCCCATATCTAGGAATTTGAGTGAAAGAACACAAACTCAACAACCGCAACCATTTGCAGTCCAACAACAGCAAGACATCAAATATTCGCCAAAACATACTGGTCTATATCTGTACTTGATTCGCTTGCTGCGTCCGATTTGGAAGAAAAAGTGTATTGTCTCCACTGATGGCGTGTCGTCATTGACACACGAGAATTGTTCGGAAATTTTACATGAATTGTATGCACTGAAAGCCTTCCTTGAAGATACGCCACTAAATAATTACTCAGGTACAACGATCACATTAAAAAAAATTTAAAATTAGAATAATCAATTTTAATATTTCCGATAGATATTTCATCGGCGAGTGCAATAAACAGTGAATATGGCCAAACGTCAATGATGCAGCAAAAGAATCCATTGGAACAGGCCATGGTTGATGATGAAAAACGTTCAATAAATGCATTATCGCTGTTCATCAGTTAGTTTTGCTATCAAATCTTTTCATTCAAAAATAATTTCTAATGCGAGATTCATTTATATTTCAGAACATACGTGTGAAGTGATTGCACTTTGGAAGATTTTGTGTGAACATCAATTTAATTTACTATTCCAAGCATTACCAAAGGATGAACAAATCTCACTGTCGGCCAGTACATTTCGTGATTTAATACTTTCACGCACCGATACATGTTCTTTGTTTATTGTCTCTTTGCTCAATTCATATTTGAATGACAATTCAACAGTCAGCTCAATTTCATCCAAATTACGCGATGTTTGTTCTACACTGTACCGACACGAAGATGCTGTTCTTTATAAAGCAACCGAAATTTTGATGCTTTCCAAATCATGCGCCGATGAGGAAGAACGACAAAATAATTTGTACATGGCCTTACAATTGTGTAAAGACGCAGCACCAGATTTACCATTGACAAATATTTGCCAACAATTTACAGCGGCCAACTACTATCAAGGTGTGATTGAACTGTGTGCAGTTTGTGCATCGAAGAAAGATCCAAATAATGCTGCTTTACATTTTTACAATAACAACGAACCAATTGAAGATCAAGAAGGATATGCCGCTTACACTACACGAATGAATTATTACAAATCGATCAAAGTAATGCTTGATCAAATTTATCACACACAAAGTATACAAAAACAGAATGCCCAACAAAATCAACCATTATTGGCTCAAGTTGATAATACATTGAACAACAATGTTCTCGAAACAGTTGCTCTAGCATTACAAACATCAGATCCCCTGCTTCATGTTTCCATTTATGAATGGCTTCTGTCCTACAACTTTCTTTCTGAGCTGCTTAACATTTCGGAACCAACGTTGGGAGAGTTTTTGGTTCGTTCAGTACTCAAATCACCACAAAACATCAAATTGGCCGATTTGTTGTGGAAATTCTATGAGCGCAATGGTCAACATTCGGCTGCAACGAAAATCTTAGTTAAATTGGCATCATCACCAAACAGCGAACTACAATTGACCGAACGAATCGAATATTTGGCCCGAGCCGTCATGTGCATGCGAAGCGAATCGAATGGTTATTCAGCCACTAATGGAGTCACACTCATCGATATCGAAGACAAAGTAAGTGACGAAAAAAAAAACACAGTTCTGATAGTTTACAAATAGCAGAAATATGTACATGTTCTTTTTGTTTTCATTTTACAGTTGGAAATCGCACGTGTTCAAAAAATGATTCTCGATGCACTGTCCGGTGTGAATAAACACGATGCACAAAATGCGTGCCAAAATCTTAACTATCAATTATACGATATTAATGAACTTTATGCTGATTTTGTTGAGCGCTTCGATTTGAGCGAATGTAAATTGAAAATTTTGCATTGTTCACATCACAACGATCCGTTGTTGATTGAATCAGTTTGGACGGAAATAATCAATAAAGAACTTGAAAACCCCGGATCAAATGAGGAGAAAATGACACGTTTGCTACTAAAAATGCAACTTCTTTCAAAGGAATATGGAACAGGTGGTCATTGTTTCCCACTCGCATTTTTGGTACACGAGATAGAACTACGAGCTTGCAAATTACGTTTGAGTCCATCACCAGTTCCCGAAACGCTCATCAATTCATTAAATATTGACGCTGATTTACTGCTCGACATATATGCTCGAATGATTTCGGTTAACGAGAGAATATGGTTGAATGAAGGAAATGAATGGCATTTGGTTGAATCAACAACACGTTTGGTAGACATGTTGACGACACAATCACATTTGATTCCAATTCGTGGCAGAACTCGTATTGTGGCTAAAGCTCATGAATTAATATCGGCATGCCGCAATCTACTTTATCCAAAACCAAACACCGAAATCATGCAAAACAAACTCCATGAAATCGAAGCAAAGCTTAAACGAGTCTTATACTAGACACACACACACACATACATACCTACATAAATTAACGTATTTTTCGAGATACATTTTGTGTTTTATATTGCTTAAGATAAATGAAATGGAAATAAAGTAATTGATTTTTTTTTCTAAAAAAACAAGTTCAATATTCTATTTTATTTAAAATTCTTTCGATAATAATTGTTCATTTAACTATTTAAAAAGGACTTCTTTTGAATGTTGCGGTCCAAATGATATAAATTGTAAATCTGGTAATACCAAAATGGCGGATACGTATTTGTCAATTATAGCATTAGGTTGTATACAAAACATATGTATTTGCGGCAAGCTACCCTTTCTTTTTTATTAATATTTTATCTTTTTACGGTGATTGACCTATAAATTCGGTTGAGAGTAATTGAATTTATTTTTAAATATATTTTAAGCATAACTTCCATTGAGTTGTAAATTTTATTCTGTTAGTTAAATCAAGTGAAAATAGGAGATGGAATCAGTTAAAGCAGGGGAGATGCAAGCATGTGAATCTAATGAGGAAAATGCATTAATTATTGATACAGAAAAAGAGTTAAATCCAAAGGTGTCAAACAATGGAAATGAAGAGATAGCAAGCTGTTCCATGGACGACACAAATGAAAAAATTGCATTGGTAAAACCGAATTGTGGAGACAGTATATCGATCGAAGTAGCAGTGGAAGAAAACAAAATCACTGCAGTAAAAGGTGGAAATGAATTAAATGATATTTTTCATACACCCGATGCAACTGACAGTGAATCCGTGCATGATAAATGTGATGAAGAGCCAATGAATATTGATGAAATACTCGAAAGTGTGCATGCTGAATCGGATGTTGTTGCGAGCAGTGATGAATTTTGCGAAGCTCAATCGCATGCAGATGAGGAAGAAAATCATCGAATCGATGGTGGAACACCGCTCATTGATGAAAAAATTGGTAAGTTAAAATGTTTTAACAAATTATACAATGTAAATAGATATCTACAGATATTTCGTAAATAGTGCACTCAATTTAATGCATCTCTCACCTCAGGCGTTGTGCCATTGTTTGAAATGATTTAAAATGTTTGTATTCATGGCTGCGATATTTTTTGCTTTTTTCTTAAAATATTCATTTCATACAATGACACCATTGTTATATTCAGCATACACGTTGAATAGGTGCTATTTACGAAATATCTATATCAACATTGTATGTGACAAATATTGCAACTTAACAAATTTTCAAAAATTTCCTCTAGAAACTATCGAGCAAGATGGTTTATTGTCTGTCAATGAGAATCTGAACATACTGCTAGAAGAGGAATCAATCGTAATGCATGACAGTGCACCAGAAAACATTCATTCGACGGACGATAACCAAGTCGCTGAAAATTCGGAGGGTGTTGACAAAAAACTAAATGAAGCAGAAGCGGATTCAGAAAAGGATGCTAATCCACCACCGAAAACAGACACACTAGACGAACTGCATGATAATAATGAGATCGTTCTAAATACAAATGATGCAACGTCAACCACTGAACCTAATGAAAAACCAGTCGATGAAGCTATTGCAGTTACTGTTGAAAATACAGATCAAAATCTTATAGTTCAACAAGGCAATGATAAGACGAATAACAATTTCGAAGACGATTCTACAATGGAAGAATTTGATAATATTTTAGAATTTTTGGAAGAAAATGAAGAGATTTTTGCAGGAGCCGATGAGATGACCAATATAAACGAAGTCAAAATCAATGATGCCGAAACAGAAGAACAATCGAACATTACGAATGACGAAGATTTCATTTTGAAATTGACGGAAAATGTAGAAAAAATACTCGAAACTAATGAAAAAAGTATGTCCACGTCTATAGCTGCCACGACCAATGGAGATTCATCTTCAGAAGCAGAACAAATACCAGAGAAAGAAGTGCAAGGGCAAGAAGAACAAGAGTCGAAGCCACTGGAGAATTCAGTAAAATCAGAAGGGAAAATGCCAGTGCGTGAAGAATGTTTGAATGTTGATTGTACAAAGAAAAGTGAAATTTTTCACGAGGCAACGGAATTCGTTATTAATCACTTTCATTTAAATAAACGTTCGAAAAAAACTATGTTTATTTGCGATGAATGTTACGATGCTGTTGTTGATTCATATGGTGAACTATGTGCTGCATTGGAGGATAAACAGCCGCTCTTCCTTAAAAATATCAAATATTCTGAGTTAGTTGAAATCATTGATAGCAGCGATGAAGAAGATGATGATGACGATGGACGAAATGATAGTACAGAAAATAATCATTCATTTGACGCTGAGACATTGGCTTTAATTGAAGACAATTTGGAGACTATTATAAAGGAAACATTGGAAAAGGTCGATATCGATCAACAAATGGATTGGAATCGTCAAATTTTGGGGTCTACTGTTGAGAACAACGAAAAAAACTTTTCCGAAATGATGAATGAAATGCACGATTTACAGTCTCGAATAGATAAACTATACAAAAATACATACAGCTTGAAACACACACTTACGGAAGACATACAATCACTCGATCTCACGACAATGTCAATCACTCAAATATGCAATGATAGTTATCCACCGCCTTATCCAGGCGATTTAAAACACCCAGATATTGAATACAACACACTCTATTATACATTTCGCGCTAAGCTTACATCACGCTGGCTACCTTGCAAGGTGACCGATAAAATTGAAGTAAATGGACAAACTGAATACACAGTTAGATTCTGCCGAGAACGAATAAACTCCACCAATTTCAAGTCAGTTTTACGAAAACATTTGGCGTATGGTCGGGTTCCTGATTATCGCTTAAATATTGGAACGCGTGTAATCGCTGTGTTTGATAATACCGACAGCAATTCCCGAGATAAATCTTTGCCAATCAAAAATAACTTTTCGCCAGGCGTTATTGCGGAACCTCTGAGTTTATACACAAACTGGCGGTATTTGGTCTTTTTTGATGATGGATGGGTACAGTATGTGCATCATGAAAATATTCGTGTCGTTTGTGAAAACACCGAAAATGTCTGGGAGCTAATTGAAGAGCCGGGTGCAAAAACATTCATTGAAGGTTATGTAAAGGAATGCAAAAAGAAGCGTCCCATTGTTCAGGTTCGTATACAATTCTTAAAAAAAAAAACAATATTTTGTTGTAAACTTTTTTCTATTTATTTAAATTTTAATATCATAAATCAAAAACAGGTACGAACCGGACAACGGATTCAAACGGAACTGAATGGAAAGTGGTACAATGCAATTGTCAATAAGGTGGAAGGTAGTTTAGTTCAGGTATTTTTTGAAGAGACAAAACGATATGAGTGGATTTATCGTGGCTCCACACGTCTTTTCCCACTCTACAAGAAACTCAATCATATAATAATGTCTGCAACAAATCGACATGAAGCAACTATTGAATATATCGTAATTGACGATGATAAAGAACCAGAACGATCAACAGAGCCACCGGTTGAAGAAAAATCTCAACCCAAGACACCACCATCGAAAACGGCAACAATTCAACGAACATTCGCATCACAGGCAGCACGAGATACACCACAACAAAAGCAACGTGAACAAAAACGTGCCGTAGCAAAGAAAAGTACAGTATCCCAACCAAAACCAACAATAACACACATGAACAACTCTACAATCTATGTAGATGAAGACAAGCCAAAAGGTAAAGTTGTATATTATACAGCCAAAAAACATATTGATGTAAAAAAGTACATCAATCACGGATGCAAGCCCAACTGTTTGATAGAGGTTCAACACAATTTAACCACGTATTCACCATTATCGAAACCACTTCTGTCTGGTTTTGAACGTCAGATTTGTAAGACTAGATTCAATAAAAAATATGTTGTCTACAAAGCTCCATGCGGGCGACGTCTTCGTGACATGCCCGAAATGCATAAATATTTGCGATTGACCAATTGTAAATTAAATGTAGACAATTTCACATTTGACCCATTGATCCATTGTTTGGCTGAGTACGTCATTGAATCATATGTCATGAAAAAGCCAGATTTATCAGATGGAATTGAAAAAATGCCAGTACAATTGGTCAACTGTTATGATAGTACCATGCCACCACCATGTACATATTCTGCTAAACGCATACCTACTGAAGGCGTCGGTTTAATTTGTGATTCAGACTTCTTATGTGGCTGCGATTGTACCGATGACTGTTTGGATAAAGAAAAGGTAAAAAATAGAATAAAAAAAGTCTAGTGTGATAAAAAAAAATAATATTTTTTTTTGTACAAATCTAGTGTGCATGTTGGAAATTAACGTTACAAGGTATAAAATATGGAAATCCTGATACACCTATTGAAGATGTTGGTTATCAATATAAGAGGCTCAATGAACCTGTCCCAACCGGAATTTATGAATGTAATAGCCGATGCAAATGTAAATCAAATTGTCTTAATCGGGTCGTTCAGCATCCGATACAACTGAAATTGCAAGTGTTTAAGACTGTGAATCGTGGTTGGGGGCTCAGATGTTTGAATGATGTACCAAAGGGCAGCTTCATCTGCTGTTATGCTGGAAATTTATTAACAGAAACGGCGGCCAACGAAGCTGGAGGAGATCTAGGTTAATTAATTTTACAATTACCCTAGCCAATTTATTAATTAAACAATTTCGTTTTACAACAGGTGATGAATATTTTGCTGAACTTGACTATATTGAAGTTGTTGAAAACATGAAAGAAGGTTATGAGCCAGATGTTGTTAACGATGAAAATGATTCATCTGGATCAGAGGATGAAGATTTTGATGTTGAAATGGAATCATTACGTACGCGTAACGATGACAGTGACGACGAATTTGTTGCCAGAAGTTATACTGCAAGTGAAGATTCGGAAAGTAGACGATACAGTACACGAAACTCGGTCGATAAACGCAAAAAGACGGATCACGCGACAACCAAAGAATCAGAGAAACGTAAAGAACGTACCAGTTCATCGGATGAGGACGGTGACGATGTAAGACAGGTGAAAAATTTTATGGCCAGTAACACAATGCCTGTGAACGAAGATGCGGACGATGATCAAAATAAATCAATTCGAAAATTCTTTGGAAAAAATGAAGCAGTTTACATTATGGATGCTAAAAAGGCTGGCAACATCGGCAGATATTTTAATGTAAGAGTAAACAAGTACATCAATTGGAATGCACAAATATTAAAGCATTGTATTTTGTCTATTTACAGCATTCTTGCGGGCCAAATCTATTCGTGCAAAATGTATTCGTCGATACGCATGATTTAAGATTTCCATGGGTGGCATTTTTTGCATCTACACATATTCGGGCCGGTACTGAACTCACTTGGAATTATAACTACGAAGTGGGAAGCGTTCCCGGGAAAGTGTTGATTTGTCAATGCGGCGATGAAAAATGTCGTGGTCGCATTTTGTAATTTCATTTTATCAAGAAAGTTTCAGTCATTTAATGTTTTAGCAATGAAATAAATTTAAATGAAAGAAATGATTTTGGTAGTTTTTTTTTTAAATAACATTTTCGTCTTTATAAAAAAAGAGAAAAAATATCAAAGAAAAATGAAGTGACGGTCACAAAAAGAGATAAATGGTTTCCAAAAAAATGACTAAATAAAAGTGTAAAAAATAATAACCTTTTCGGATATTTTGCGACTTTTATGCCAGCTCGAGCTATATTTTTGTGACCATTTCAAACAAATTCAAATAAACTAAGTATATGTATTTCGTATAAATTTTTATGGTTTATTGACGATTTCTTTATGTTGACATTTTCGCAGTACTCTCTCGATATCTCTTAGATTACGAACAAAAAATATCGCAACAAATTTTGGTTATGTTAAGAATATTGTTTGAATTATCATAAATTTTTCAATCGATCAATCCACCACGAAGTGCCAGAACTAAATGAAGAACCGAACCACCTTGGACCTTGTAATCGGATGCAGTTTTGTCGTCGTTCCTAAAAAACGCATGGAATGAATGAAGAAAATTATGCTAGAGCTTACGTCAAACAGATTTATCACGTTGAAACTAAACAATTACATTTGCTTTCCTGAAAAGATCAAACGTTGTTGTTGCGGTGGTATGCCTTCTTTTTCTTCCACTCGCTCCTTGATGCGGTCAACTTTATCTGTGGGCTCAATATCGATTTCGATTTCCTTGCCGGTCAATGTCTGAAAATCAAATCAAACATATTTTATAAAAATGGGCTCCTTATGCGCGTATGCGGCATACTCCAACATCGATAAATTATCGAGAGAAAAAATATGCCGCAATACAACAAATCACAAGTCATCATGCTATTTGCTAAATATTTATATTAATCTAGAAAATGTCTTTAAGTATACACTACCTTCACTTTGATCAACATTTTTAAGATAAAATCTTAATTTTCTTAATGTGATAATCAGAAATAAAATAGCTACAAATTTAAGTGTGAAATTGTGAAACGCACCAAACGAAATGTTTGTATCTGAATGTAAATGAAAAGCAATTGCTATTTATGACAGTTGAATGCGAGAAAAAATGAGTAAGAAACTTATGTGTGGTTCATAGCACAGAAGCGGTATTTAACAAAATCCAAAACAAGATGCCAGATTTTATTTTATTTAGAAATGTAATTCTATATGTTTTTATATTAACATAGGAAATATTATACAAAGAAATCTGCAAATAATGATAATTTAGAGAAAAAAATAAATATTTTCATGGAAATTATTAACTCGATGAGAACAAACCATTAGGTTAACCGGTAAATTTCGAATACGTATTACGTATTACGTGTGTTAGCCGCCTGTCAAACCATACGCATGGATTTTGTTTCAGTGGATGACGTACGACGTATATTCCATCTTTTTCTCAAGGCAAATTCAGCAAGGTATGACACGATTCTTTTTGATGCCTCCAACAATTTTAAAAAAACTCGTGAAATTATTGGAACAGTGATCAAATATTGTCAAAGAAATGATTATAAAGAATGTTTCTATAAGAAATTCATCGATTTTTGCATCGATGCATCGAATTTCGTACGATGATTTGTGATTAAATTTGGTTGTGTAAATGTTACTGTATTTCTTTGGCGTGTGATGATTGTTTCATGTTTCGGGTGTCCCGAGTGATTTCAATGAGAATAACAATTATTGATCGAAAAATCAATTAGATTTAATTGTGACAGTGTTTTTACGAAGAATAATTAATGAAATTGTGAAAATTCTCCATATTTTACAGATGGTAGCATCAAAAATCATTAAAGCGGGAGGCGCTGAGCCTGATGAGTTCGAAAAAACCGTCAGCCAAGCTTTGCTTGAATTGGAGTTGAACTCTGAATTAAAACCACAATTGAGAGACTTGTACATTACACGTGCTCGTGAATTGGAATTTGCCACCAAAAAGGTAAGAATCGGCTCGAGTGTATTACAGTAAATAACAATCGGACGGAAATGTGTTCAGTAACAAAGCAATGTGTTGATAGTGACAATAACCTCAAAATTCGCATTTAGTTTCAAGTATTGGTGATGTTAAACTAAACGATAACAATTTTCATCGAAAATCTAAGTGCGATAGATTAAAACCATTTTCTATTTACCATTTAATGTAAATTCAATTGCTAAATGGATATAAAAATGGTGATAAAATAAATTTCCCAACCAAATTCAGTGAAAATGATTTGTGCTTTATTTGTATTGCTGTTTCAAACGAAAAAAATAAATAACGAAAATCACATTGACTCGTTGCTATTGTCAAGTATTGATTTCGAAATGATTTAAAACACAATTTATTGAATTGAAATTAATAAACTGATATTTTCAGGCTATCATCATCTATGTTCCAGTTCCAAAGCAAAAGGCTTTCCAAAAAATCCAAACCCGTTTGGTTCGTGAATTGGAAAAGAAATTCTCTGGCAAACATGTTGTGTTCGTTGCTGAACGTAAAATTCTGCCAAAACCACAACGTAACACACGCAATCCATTGAAACAAAAGCGTCCACGTTCACGAACATTGACCGCCGTTTTCGATGCCATCTTGGAAGATTTAGTGTTCCCAGCTGAAATCGTTGGCAAACGTATTCGCGTCAAGTTGGACGGTTCCCAATTGATCAAGGTTCATTTGGACAAGAACCAACAAACCACCATCGAACACAAGGTGAATATATTTTAGATTTCGTGATCATAATTTATTGCCATCGTGTTGCTCGTATGATTAGCACAAATTATCAACGAGTGTCTAAATATTTGGCATAAATCATTGTGCCTCTTAAGCTTTACAAACAGATGAGATTTTATCGAATCTGTGTGATATTATAAGAGGATACATTCATTAAGAATAAGAAAGAATCAGTGGTTAACTGCATTGCAATCGATCGATGAGTTTGGAATTTGTAAAATCGGCATAACATATAAAATCTACAAACAAAAAAAACATCATTGACATTATCAATGAAGTGTAATCGATTGACTTGAATTATTGCCATTGTGTTGCTTATATGATCAATTCTCCAGATCAATGAGTGTCTAAATATTTGGCATACAGAAAAACATTCCATTTACAACTTTACTGTTTTTCTACTTAGAATGGAATTATCAGATATACGAGATGGAAACAATAGATTTCATTTATTAGACTAAGAAATCTTCTTTGACTGAATATTTTCTAATGATAATTTGAATCCTTTTTCTTCTTTCTCTCGCAGGTCGATACATTCACCTCAATTTACAAGAAATTGACCGGCCGTGAAGTTACATTCGAATTCCCAGAACCATACTTGTAAACAATGGAAATGGATGCAAACATCAAACAAAAATAAACCATTGAATATTTTATTCGATTAAAACGGAAAACAAAAATAAAATGAATTGTTTTTACTTATTTATTGTCTTTTACAGCTCTTTTATAAATTCACTTGTAAAGCAACTGTCATCAGTAGAACATTTTAGCAGTTCAAATGAAATTGGAAATCTTAAATTGAAAGGGTAAAGGTATTTTGACTATATTTATGGTTGAGTGGATGTTAACAGGCTATGTTCAGCTTAACTAAGTCAACTATATCCAAATAATGCTGTCGGTTCAATGGCTATGCTGTCTAAATATTCGTACTAGATTTCTACAACCTTTTGAATATCTTCTGGGACATGTTGCATTCAAAACACTTCGCAATAAAGGGAGTCCAAGGACTAGGCCTTAAAATTGGCCATTATTATTCTTTCAAAAGTTTCAAAATACACTTAATCACAACATTTCAAAATAACTAACATTCCTATTGCCTTTTATCTTATTTTTCAAACTCACTTTTAAATTAAATTTTTTAATATCATATTTGACGGCCTAAGAAAACAATAACATACAGAATATTCTGCAAAAAGACGAATACAAATTTATGTGAGCAAAAACCAAATATACAAACAGACAGCGCAAAGATAAAACATACATAAGAAACACATGTAAGTAGGCTGTTTTACTTTTGCGCTGTCTGTTTGTATATTTGGTTTTTGCTCACATAAATTTGTATTCGTCTTTTTGCAGAATATTCTGTATGTTATTGTTTTCTTCTTAGGCCGTCATTTATTCCACAAGACATTGGATATTTTCAATGTTTTTCGTATAACCACGAACCACTGTATAAAAATGCCATTCGAATAAACAATAAAAACGTCATTTCTTGATGTGTTGTAGTGAACAAATATTTGAAAGCAATAATTTGAATCAAGGAATCAAGGAATCAAAAGGATCTTCTTCTCACAGATTGACATAAGATAGAAATCAAATTTTTTTATCACACAACCACAATATTCATGATTTCAAAGTAAATGGTAATGTCCATACACAAACATTGCACAAACGACAAAAGAAACCGAATTTATCGTAGTGTCAAATTCAAACAAATTTTCTCAGTGTATAAGAAAGAATAAGAAGACGACAACGATTGTTGAAACGACGGTTGAATGAGTGAAATGAACATATATTGGTATTGTTAATGCAAAATAACTGTCACACTGTCGTTATTTGTTGCGTTTGTTCGTCGCCTGTTGAACAAGTGTTGACCATCACAATGGATTTTGTATATCATCAGTTAGAATTTACCAGTCGTCTATTTTAAACGTTTTTTTTTCTTCTTGACCGCCAGTGTTCACCATTTTGTTTTGTAAACTATATGTGCTTCTTAAAAAGTTGAATGCCCAGAAATTGATTATTATCAGAGGATTGTTCAAAGTTGAATCAATGGTTGAATTTTATTAATAAATATCGAGAGAAAATAATCAAAGGACTCACAAAATGGACTTTATTTTTGTTTTAATTGTTTTACGTTTTTTGTGTTTGTAAATTTGTGTTTGTTGATTGTGAATCAAAATCGAATGTAGAATAAATATCGATCGAAATGGCCAACATGATGACAGATCAAGCAATTCGACGATTATATTCAAATCCGCTGTTTATAAGCGAATCCAGTGACGATCGGACACCCGACAAAAATGTTGGAACCGTGAAAAAAGTAAGCGATTCCGAAAATTTAGGTGAGTAGCTATTTGACAATGTTTATTGGTTTCGATTATGTTTTTTTTTTTTTCGTGTTTAAAGAGGAAAATGTTGTGCCACTTACAAATATAAATACTCTATATCGCTGACCTAGTTCAATGTGCCCATCATGAAATTATTGATTAATTTTCGATGCTTGATTCAGTGCATGCAAAGCCAGCGACTTGAAGCAAAGGATATAAGAATAAAGAGTGTACGACGTATAGGAGTTGAGTGATTAAATTTATTTTTATTAGCTCAGTGTAATACTCAAGATTCAAGCAGAGTAATGCATTCAATAATCAAGTATGGTGTTTTAAGTAGCAATAAAAATATTAATAATAATTGAAGTTGCATGCATAAAAATGGTCTGAAAATCATGCATAAACAATCAAATGTGCGACAAAAACATACTACATTCTCTAAATGACTGCATTACCAGGTACTTGAAATGTGCTGGTATAGGCTAGAGTTATTATTTACTCATAATAATAAGAAAGTGTGTACAGCAAGACGTTTCTGAAAATCATGCGAATGAAATGACGATGTACCGTCGGAAACATAGCAAGCATTCAAGCAAAAGCGAGTAGGATTCCATCATTAGCAATATTTCCATTTTCATTTCTAATTCTATTTCTAAATTCACATCGTAGCACTCACATATGAATTCCAAACTTTTTTTATTCGCAATTTCCCAGTTTTTATTAAAAAGCCATCACCGACTTGTGCATAGTTCGCATGAGTCTTCTACTTTTTATGTGTACCGCATAAATGTGAACTACATGAACACAAATCAAAAAAGCCGGTATGTGATTGTATACACCGGTCGTGCTCTAGCTTGCTCCGTTGCATTACGTTCGTATGATTTTTTTTCTTTTCCATATTCAATTTTCAAGTGCACAACAGCAGGAAAAAAACTGGCGTACTTTGTTTATGGCATGGTATTGGGAGTAGAAATTGATTTTATGGGCATTTTTTTGTGAAAATTAACGTTTTTTTAAGAATCCATATACATATATTGTATTCAAAGTGCAACTGATAAAACCAGGGATTTCTGGTATTCGTTTCGATTTTTGGGTTTCAGCTAAACGCTCATATGCTTTTTGATGCTTGAAATTCTTTAAATATAGTAGATCCACTCTTTACAGTCAACCTCAACTCAATACAAAAATTCCTTTTGTAATTTTAGAGTAACATTCTATTATTCTTTCAACGCCCTTAAACAGAATTTTTGCCATTTTCGTTCATTTTTAATGAATCTATATATTTTCATGCATTTTACGTAGATCTCTTCTGTGAAAAAGAGTGAAATAACTCAACTTGAAAGTTTTTGGTGAATTTTAGGTTTTACATGATAATGAATAAATGAAACATTCCAATTCTTATCGGATTTTGACAGCGGATATAGTATGTAACGATGTGAAATTCGCTACTTAAGCCATATCTTGAAAATCCATTGAAATTAATTCCAAGTCCCAATAAAATGCAGCGCATGGTTTGCTGTGTGTCACAATATTGGTGATGGTGTTTATGAACGACGAACACACATATCGGTATTTGACGATAAATATAGTGAATAGACAAATAAAGCATGGAATATGTTTAACCCTATTATCTGGTACTTTGCCCATTGTGCTCATGAATCGTTTTGGTTCTCACCATTTAACCACTTAACAAAAGAATATTGTAGAGTTTATTGTAGCACATTAGCTGCAACAGTTGATGTGTTCAAAATGAAAACTGCATTATAACGATAGAATGAGGCACAATTCATTAAAACAACTGAAACGAGATAATAACATTTTGCGAAGAGCGAAGAATTAAAAAAACACAGGCAAATTCAATTTTATCTCGTATTTGAATACAAAAGCAGAAGCAACAATAAACCATGATGACAGAAATACATTCACCAGACACTTTTTGACCAAGTGATACAGAAAATTGAGTAGTATTTGTAAATCGAATTTTTTTTTGCAATTTTAAGAGGCTTGTATGCAAAACACGGAAGATCGTTGAAGTTGCACTGACGTACATCCGTAAATATTTTGCATTTGTCGTTTCAGCGGTCTTCCGTGCTTTTCATACAAGCCTCCCATATAGATGATGGAAAGTCGTAAAAATATGAAGAAAAAAAAAATAATTCTTTTTCTTCGATGAGTATACTCAATTCTCTGTATCACCTGGTGCTACATACTTTATTCTTAATCGTTCATTTGGTTTTACATAAAGTATCTGTCAAATATTTATCACCAAATTGTGCATAGTTTGCATGAATCTTCTACTTTTTATGTGTATCGCATAAAATTGAGCTACATGAACACAAATCAAAAAAGCCGGCATGTGATTGTATACACCTGTCGTTCTAGCTTGCTCCGTTGCGTTGCGTTCGTGTGATCTTTTTTTCTTTTCCATATATATACATTTTCAAGTACGAAGCAACAGGGAAAAAGCTGGTGTACTTCATTTATGGCATGGTAAAATGTACCGCATAGTGTGCTGTGTGTCACAATATTGGTAAAGGTGTTTACGAACGACGAACACACATATCGGTATTTGACGATAAATACAGTGATAGACAAATACAGCGTGGAATATGTTTAACCCTATTATCTGGCACTTTGCCTATTGTGCTCATGAGTCGTTTTGGTTCTCACCATTTAACCACTTAACAAAAGAATATTGTAGTCTTGATTGTGGCACATTGGCTGCATCAGTCGATGTGTTCAAAATGAAAACCGCATTGTAACGATAGAATGAGGCACAATTCATTAAAACAACTGAAACGAGATAATAATATTTTGCGAAGAGCGAAGAATGAAAAAATACAGGCAAATTGAATTTGTGCTCGTATTTGAATGCAAAAGCAGAAGCAACAATAAACACAATCACAAAACAATGCTATGATGACAGAAATACATTCACCAGACATTTTATGACTTGATAAAAGAGATGAAATGTTGTGTGTATTTCTATAAAATGAGTAAATCGAACATGAATAAAAATGTTCATTGTTAAAAGGCAAAAAAAAAAATATTCGGAATTTCAATTCGATTTTGTGCTTAAGAAACCGTAGCATTGCACCGAATTAACTCATCTAATCGCTTTGTGTGCACAATCATGATCTCTTCAAAATTAGAACGATTGCTCATTGCGTACCTAGGTACTGCAATAAATGGAAACATCAGATGGAACCGATAGTGCTTTCCCTTGAAAAGAAAAAATGATAAACAGAGACAGAACTATTGCAACGAGTTCACATAACGTTAATTTTGATTGTATTAATTTTGAAGAAAAGAAGAACGAAAAAAAAAAAATCAAAAATCACAACAAAATAAGACAATAAATTGCATTCCAAATTCAAAAAGTTCCGCATAGCAAAGCCATTCAAAGTGCATAAAATTGCGAATCTAAACGAGTTTTACCACAAAAACTGGCATGTATTTTTTTTCGTATTTTCGTAAGTGTGATACGAACTTTTATATCATTTGTGATTCCTTTTTTGCGCGTGTACGCAACGCATTTGAAATCGACGACTGTATAAATGAAATGCAACAACAAACATCATCTCCCGGTCACTTGTCTGATCCAACGCACACTGAGTGTTTTGTTTTTGATTTTTGTATTCGCTTTTTCATTTCATTTCTGTATAATTGTGATTTTGTGTGTGATTTTACGCTGCTTGCGCTTCAACTACCGACGATTGAGCGCGCTGAGTTGCTGTGTCGGTAATAGTTTTGGTTGGTGAACGTGTTATTTCTTGTTCAATCAGTCAACGTTTGAACTTCATCGACGTAACGTCACAGTACATGTGCGCTCTATAAATTTACGACGAGATATTTTATTGAACAGCAAAAAGTGGTCCAAAGAGCCGTTGGATTTGGATTTCAACAGAAAAAAATATATTCAATTCGAATATAATTGATTTTTTTTTATACTGAGAGTTACAAACTTTTGAACCGATTTAAATGTTGATAAAAAATGCATATTTTTAGTAAAGAAAAAAAGTAGTGTGTAAAGTTCATCATCCGATCATTTACAGCGTTTAAATGATAAGTGTAATCATAATCAGACTGCAATAGTAACGTACATGTTTGAAAATAATTAATAATCGACTGGTTTGAAAAGTGCGAATATTGGATTGTGTATATTTAGCAAAGTGACTAATAAGAAATGATATTATCTCTTTTGTACAATATGTGCGGCTACTTCGATTCATTCATACTCAGTATTTTCGTTACCATGAAAGTGTATGACAAATTTTGATTTTCAAAGTGTTCTCGCAAGTGAATGTGTGTTCAATTAATGTGCGTACACTATTTCGAGTGTATACAATTTTGATGGCCAGCCGTTTCATTCAACTCGGATAGCGTGTATAGTTAAATTTTAATTTTCCAAATAGTTGAAACAAAAGACAGCGTGAAAATAGAAAGAAGCGAACTATACAAACAACGAAACAGTGCAATCAACTTTTGGTTGCTTTTACTTTTCGGGTAATTATTCCACATCGACTCGAAGATTCATAAATTGTAACTTTTTTCACTTTGTTTGTTGAACTGGACATGCTGCTCGTGAGCAGATCAAAACCATTCGCTTAATTTTTTGCCATTCAATTCTACACTTCATATGAATATGATAGATGTGTATGATATCTAGAAATACGTAATTGGTGATTAGATGTGAGGTGAATTGAATAAATGATCCTATGCTACTTTGGATACCGAAAAAAAAAGTTTTTTTATGTTAATAACGCCATTAATTCAATTTTTTTGGTTTTGGACAATTTATATTTATGCAAACTCGTTCATAATGCTGAATGATTGCGCACTGATGCAAATGAATCGAGAATTAATGTGACAAGATCAAATCACTTATAAGCCAGAAGAGAATTCGGAGTGCAAATAGAAGAAATGATTGTGTGAAATAGAAGCCAGATGTGGGAAAGCAACAATCTGAATATATTTGTTGTTGGTTTTCACAATAACAAGTCAACAAAGTCAAACTAGTACTGCGATTATAAGCACCGCCATCCATCAGCATTGCGTATTTTGCGCCCCAATTAATTAACATAGTGAACTTTTGTGATTTTTATATTTTGGCGTTGTTGTCTTCTGTTTCTGACTGGTTTCGTTATAACTTTTTAATTAATGGGTTTCATTTGCTTTAACATTACCATACACAACAATAAATCTTCTTTTCTCCATTATCGCTTTCGTCAAAAAAAAAAAAAAAAAAAAAAAAAAAAAAACCAGCAACAATAGAGAAGAGGAAACACAGAATGATATAATTGTTTATGTTTTGCTTTGTTTATTTTTTTTTTTTAATTTTAGACCCAATATGTATAGAGCCAACAGACTCACAACGATCAAGCTTGTCAATCACACCACCTAAATTGTACACACCAACATTTTTAACACCACGAAGTAGTCTGACATCTGATACATATAACGATTCCATAGCCGCCACTGAATTTTACTCATTTTCCATTGATTCAGATGAATTAAGTCAATCGATTGCCAACAATACCGTAAATTCGCTGTATGAAACGTGTGTCGAGACATCGGTTCGATTGTTGTCAGCAACACGTTCGGTGAGGCGACGATTACGACCACTAGTCAACAGTGAATTTCTATTGAATCGTTTACCGAAATTGCAACGTTTGTCGGTTGGCGGGCGAACGTCACCGAGACAAAGCGATCAATTCAATAAATCAGAACATTGTACCTGTGAGGAAGGTCATTTTGATGGAAATTGTTTGAAAAGTTTTATGGAGATGTCAGTGCAACCGGCTGAATATCGAAATACTACACAAATGATGACTTCCACTCCAGTCATAACAAAAGATGTGTACGATCACGGAATATTCAATGTTGCTCGCATAAAAAAAGTCGAATTGCACGACCTATCGCCAAAGGTACCGGAGTTTCATGGTAAATACACTACTTTTCATTTGATTTAACCATATAACCCAAACTCACCTGATCTGTCTTCACAGATAAGCGAATTTTAATGATTGTTGACCTAATTAACTTCTTTATTTCTTTTGTGATTGTCTTTCTTAACCGACAGTAATTGATGCAACGCCGAAAGATCGTTGTATTAACAATAATAATGTTCGAATACCGAATGGAAATCACTACGGTAATCAAACAAACGTGTTTGCAACAAACGTAGTAGCACCAACGACACAAAATTATACAAAAGACCAGAATCAGTCAACGCAACATTCAATGACAATGCCAGCACCAGAAGACGGAAATGTGCTGAAAAAAGTCATTTCATTTACGCTCGATCAAATGTACAGCGGCGACTCTGCAACTGAAAAAGAAAAACGCCCTTCATTTGTACCAGAAAAGCTACATTTTAGTACCTATGAGCAATTTAAAGGTGAGCATACAATAGATTGGCATATATCGTAAGAAAGTGATATAATTGAGCTTGTTAACAGAGTAACAATGTCTTCATTGGAAATTGAAATGAATCAATCAATGGAATCGAAATGCTTGAAACTTATGTCATAGTAACTATTATTTTACTACGTAAAATGTATGAAATCAATGAATTTGAATCAAAGAACCATAACAGTAGAACGATTAGTAAAGAGTAATGGTTTAGAACAAATCTATTAAAAATTCATAAATTTATGAAACATCTCGACAAATTAGATGTGTATCATCGTGTTGTTAGAGAATAAAATCAATCTCTAAATCACGTTGTAAAAAACACATTTAAATGTATTTTATGATGAAATTCCAACCTATCTAAAGCGCAGAATGGATTGGAGTATGTTTTTTCTCTCAGCAAATAAAGTATAGCAATCACAGATTCAGTAATCCGGAAAAAACTGGTAACTGAGTGTTGAAAATTCATAGCATTTGACTTTGAATTTTTTTAACTATCGCTTATATTATTGTATTCCAGTGAATGCAAACGAAATCTACTCAAATTTTTCAGGCGTCACGGGCACATCCTGTGTTTGTTTAACACTCATACGAACACACACGTGTATGCGAGTGTGTAGCACATACACAATAGACACTTATATGATATGTTTCCAGTGAGTAATTTTTCCGGGCACTAAACTCTATTTTGCATTCGTAGTCTACGAAATTGAATGCAAGTGAAATGTTCGCGGGTCCCATCAACAAAACGTAACATGTATGCATTCAAAGAGAACATTCATTGTCTCCCAGCAATGAGCGAATCACTCAGCCGAATGAGAAAGGGGGGAGACATTGAACTGAATCCATTTAGAATCTACTTAGTTTGTATGAATGATTTATCATGTTAATCACCATAGGTAAAAATCTCTCCTTGGAACATTTGAAAACAAAATAGCATGCATTTCGAATAACTGCGCCATACAAAAACAAGATGCATTTAAATTTAAATTAAATTAAAACATATTAAATATGACGATGGAAAAGAAAAATGCCGCAAAGTGTCACGAGAATAAAAACATAAACAATAACGATAACAATTAACTATTTGAATGATTTCAATTTATGAAATTTTAGCTTAATCATACCGAAAACATGTTTTACGATAAAATACGATTGCGTCCATGTTCCATGATAACAAACAATGTGTGAGTCGAATAACGGCCAAGTTTATCGATCAGATTACATTGCACGCATTGGATAAAAAAAAAAGCAATAACTGTCGAAATTGGAAAACGATGTGACAAAATAATAAATGAATGACATTACGCTGTATATGTTGTATATGCATCGCGTAGCAAAGAAATAATAATAACTGTTCATTTTCACCATTCGAAAATTGTGTCTATATTTTTCAGATGAAGGAAGTTAATTCCATGCATAAGACAGAAATAAAAAAAAAACATGATTTGCGATGTTTTATTCTGATAATCTGCTGAAATGACGATGCATACAGTAAATAAAGTGATTAAATCAAGTGAAACGTTCACTCGAAAAAGAAATGAAATTACTGTGTACATCATTGTTTCTTTTGACAGTCACAGTGGAGGAAGAAGAATAGCTTGTTTTGCGTATCGTGAAGAATGCTCATGTATTTTTTCTTTCTTTACATATACAATCGACTTATATTGAGCCGTATCTTTTTCCTGCTCGAATCACAAAATCAAATTAAGCCAAACAAAAACATACGGAACACTATAAATACCTGCGCAGACAGGTAATCAGCGAAACATTGTTTGTAATTGACTAACATCGAGTGACAAATGTTTCGTAAAAGCATTTGTGTACAATCAAAATGGACTTGCTAGAATGAACAGTAAATATTTATCTTTTACAAAATTTCTTTTATTTTTCTGGCGATAAGTTCATATATACGATAAATATTTGGATTTTGTGTTGCAATTCATTCTTATGAAATCACACAAATCTTTATTGCTGTATATTTATGGAATCGTTTGGGAGTTAATAAACAACTTGAAATAATAATTTCATCCAAGTATTATTTTATATAAATTTTTATTTTGAACAAAAATACAATCATTTGTATCAACTCCAAAGATCATTTTTCCATTTTTATTGGCCTAATTAATTTCATCTGAAATGTTATTCATTTATGGATAAGTCGTAGAAGCCGTATGCATCGAGTTTTATTATTTGATTAATAATGTTCAAGTTCTGGGTCGAATTCATTTACTGATTGAATTCTATTGATATGAACATACAGAATCGAAGATTTTTGTATTATATCGAAAATATTACTGCTAAGTAATTATAAAGAAAAAATGAAGAATAAGCGAGAACGATTAAGAACTATTTTAGGCTCATCTAAGTCACGTCATTATAATAACTGATTAAATTTATTGATTCAGTACTGACATTGAAAATTTTTCTATTTAACCGTTGAAATAGGCCAATTATTTGTAAAATGGGTGAGCAACTCGATAGCATCATCTCGAAAGTTTGAATCGAAAGATATCAACTTGAAAGCAATTGAAATGCTGATTTCGGAAGTTTGTACACATTTAATAGCGGCCGGAGTCATGAAACAAATTATTGATTATGACGAAAAGACCAAAGATGTGTTTTGTGTAAGTATTTTTATAATATCTTGTAATTCATGTATTTTTTGTATTAAAAATGTTCCCGTTTTAATTTCAGCCAAATGAAATGTATCAATGGACACACGTAGAATTAGCTCGGCAGCAACAGAATGGACCAAAGAAAGATGTGCATAGTTTGCACCAATACGATGAAGAAACGATCAAATATGTGAATGAAAGTACAATGACATTAACTTCCGATGGACATGAGGAATCGTTTGCCTCCATAAAAACAAAACGGTTATCATGTGAACTGTCTTTGGAAAACAATCACATCAATAGTGAAAACGATGAACAACAATTTAAAATTGAGTCAACCAATTCATGTGGAATTGAAAATCTAGAGGAACATCTTGTAGAGATTCAATCAAAGGGGAATTTTGATCATCATTTGGAAAATGATCAGCCTACAAAATGTGACTGTGATAGTAATATGGGGAAAATTCGCGTCGAAATTTCAACACAAACGGATGACATAGTAGATACAACAAATGATGAGAAAGAGTCACATATAGCATTAAGTGACAATACTGAAAATGGCCTAGAATGTGATTTAGAACCATCTAATCCAACACCACCGCTACCACCGCCACCCCCTTCATTCACGGTTACTTTTCCGTCTCCCACTATAGCTCCGCCACCCCCTCCACCTCCGCCCTTTGCGTTCAATTCATTGGCACCACCAACATCGCACATCCAAAGTACTACACAAAGTTCGCCAAGTAAAACGACGACCATTTTAACTAGTGCATCATCATTTTGTCCGCCACCACCTCCTCCTATGAATGGACTGCATGGACCACCACCCCTTCCTTTGCCAACGGGGAATATGTGGTTCAAGTCTGATAGTGAGTTGGTCAAATCCATTCATTTCGAAATATTCCATATTGTCATATGATTGCCCGAGAATGAAAGCGAAACTTCTATTCACAACTTATTGATAGTCTGCGGTTTTACATTTCGATAAGTTGTGAATAGAAGTCTAGCTTTGATTCTCGGACATTCATATTGTCAATGAATTTATTTTATCGTCTAAACAGCATTACGAAAAGCTGCCAAAGTGCCGCCAAAGCCGATGATTAATTTATTTTGGACTCGAATTCTGATTCCAAAAGAAGACGAAGAAGAGGAAAAGATTAAGGAGCCAGAAAGTAATGAGTTTTCAACAATAAAAAAACGCGAAAAACTATGGCAAAAGATAGACGAAACACACTTGGACAATGCAGAAGATTTTACCGAATTATTTGCACGCCAAGCAACGCCAAAGAGACCAAGAGAAGTGAGCAAAGTACCAAAGAGGGCAGTGATCAAAGTGTTGGATTTAAAACGTTCACAGAGTGTGGGAATATTTTCGCAAAGTTTGTATCGCCATCGAATTGACTCGCAAGCAATTCAACGGGCAATCTATAATTGGGATTTGTCAAACATTGGACTCGATTTATTGCAACAATTGCTTGAACATCGAGCAACGCAAGGTAATAAATACAATCGCAACTGAGGCTCGAATACTTTAATACTTGAAAAAAAAAAATAAAAAAAAAAATTATTTTCAGCTGAACTCGTTGCAATAAAAGAAGCACAAAAGAATACAACTTTAAGTATGCCATTGGATGGTCCAGAAAACTTTCTGCTCAAATTTTCAGAAATTAATTCGGCACCAGAGCGAATTGCCTGCATCATATTCCGCAACGAATTTGAAGAGTTAAACACACAAATCGAACAAAAAATCAAAACCATCCGAAATTTGTGTGAGTTTCTAACGGAAAATAGTCATTTGGGAGATTTATTTGCAATTATTCTGACCTTGGGAAATGTTATGAACGGCGGTAATAGGTATAGAGGACAGGCTGATGGTTTTGGCTTGGACGTGTTGAACAAATTGAAGGTAAAAAAATATGAATATTTAATTTTATATATTTTTTTTAATTTTTTTTTATTTCTCACTTTATACTAAATACTGATTGAAGGATGTCAAGTCTAAAGACAAAAAAACAACACTGCTCCACTTTATTGTAAAAACATTCATTTGCAAACGAAGACAAGATGGTCAGAAACCAAAAGAGATTGCTTATCCATTGCCAGATAGCGATAGCATGAAAAGTGCTTCAACGGTTGATTTCGATATGTTGTACGACCAAATCGAGCAACTTCGTAAAAACTTTGAAGGTAATTAAAACCGCATAGAGCACATTGTAATGAATGTTAATTGAATTGAGTGCATTATTAACAACACGTTTTCCATTTTGAATGATAGATATCAAGGAGAAGATAAACAATGTTATCAGTTCGTCAACAGAGCAAAATATTCAGCCATTCAAAGACATTTCCGAAGAACTGGTTCGAAATGCAACCAGCAAAATTGATAACCAATATCATGAATTGAAAATATGCAAGGTCATCTTTCGAGAAACGTTAGACTACTTCAAACACATTCCAAAAACCGGTACTATTGACGAATGTACGCCAAGCCAGTTCTTCGAGTTATGGGTGAATTTTTGCATTGATTTCCGCGATTTATGGAGAAAAGAGATGGCCGCCATTAATGCGGAAATGTAAGTTAACCACAGCTACTGTCTGATATAATTCTGCTCTACTCTTCATACCAAAATATTGTATTGACTTACATAAGACCTGGTTAAGATATATACATACATTGTAACTTTGCATGACTTAAAGCACATTATCATAATCATGAATGAATTTAGCTCAACAGATTCTCACTTATTAGAAACGATAATTTTCTGGTCAATTTTTTTGTTGGCCAATATTAACTGTGATCAAAGAAAGTAAAATCAAAGCAAACTAAATACTTACAAAAATGCTCACGAAGTCTACTATTTCACTCACCTCATCTTTTTCTCCACGCACATTTTTTTTATTCTAGAATTCAAAAGTACAAAAGCATTGCTTCACCAAAGACACCACAAAGTCGAGCTAAAGGAAAACAAAAGCCAATTGGATTACGAGTTAGACGCGTTAATCAATTATAATGGCTGAAAAATTGCGGCACACAACACATTTAATATCGACTGAAAATTACACAAACACTAATTAGCATGCAATCACAGCGCATACATTTATTAACCACTAAAAGAAATTATTATGTATTTTTGTGTCGACTTTTTGTATATATTTTTATAATTAAAAACAAGTCCGAAAAATATTGGCTATTGGCAGTTTATCAGCAACTTATGCAAATTAAATGCTAGATGCCAATAGCTCAACTTGCTCGACATTTTTCGGACTTTTTTGAATGTTTGTTGAAAACAAAAAAAAAACTGTTGGAAATGATCATAATATAATAATATATGTTTTAGAGAAAACAGTAGAAAATGATGTAAAAAATTTATTTTTAATGGCCCAAAGGAATTTTTGATAAAATCATTCACATTCATAAAACACTCAAATTGATGTGTATTCTGATGATTTCACACAAAATGGCTTATTTGCTTACAGAAAACGCGTATCGAGTATTTATCTATAATTCTATTTTGAATCCATTTGGTGGTACGAGTATCATCAAAATACACGCCAATTGGGATGTATATATTGTCATATTGAGCATATTTTAAAAAATGGTGAAATTCCAAATAAAAATGTCATAAAATTGAAGCATGGTAAATCATGGTTGAGTCCATAAAAAATAGTAAATAAAAGGAACATATGTCATCATTATCATCACTTGTTATAAAATCATTTATTTTTTTCTTAAAAACAAAGAAATTTATAGAAAACAAATGTTTTGTACGCGAAAACCTATTATGTCTGAATATTTTCATTAAGCTACATGTTGAAGACACCAAATAAAAATGTACTGTAAATATTTGAAAAAAAAACCGAATTATTTTCTTATACATGATGGTTTTTTTTGTTGTTTATTTTGACTAATTTTGGTAAGCGATACGGAAATTGATTGGAATTATGACATTAAAAATTTGCGCAAGTATATCATATACAAATGATAGAAATAATTTTATGCGATTTGCTATTCATCGATTTGCATATTAAGCTGGGCCAATAGGGCAGCTCGTCTTGATTCCAATTCAGATTCGCTAAGCGCTTGATCGTCAGTGTTTTTGGTCGACGGTGAATCTGTGATTGAATTTTTGTTTTAAGTTAGAATTTCCATAAAATTTTGTTTCCTATTCATTTGTTTTACCATCTCGATTTGATGTAGATATTGGAGGTGGTGTTCCGCTTATTGATCGCCTTCGTTCTTTGTCCTTTTTCTTTTTATCCTTCTTCTTTTTCTTTTTTTCTGGTGTTGTTGGTGATAGCGGTTCAAGCATCGGCGAAAATTTATCGGACGATTGCACATGCATTGGTGACTCGTATGATACCTGATTTGTGCAAAACATATTTTTGTTTTAGAAATTGAACCGTTAAATAAAACGAATCTATAAAATATATTTGAAAAAATAGATAGAATTTTACCGATCGGGAGTGTTTGCGGTGCTTCTTCTTTTTGGACTTCTTTCGTTTTTCACTAGATGAACTTATCGTGCTGGTGGATCGCTATAATTTTAAATAAAATGTTGTTTTTCAATCAATATGCAATTCTACAATTTTTGCTTACAAAAATACTTACGGAACGTGACCTTGATCGTTTCGATTTTTTTACTTTTTCATATTCGACGTCCGACTGTTCAGAACCCTGTAAATAACACAAACGAAACATATTAAGAAAAATATACTAACAAGTGTTTTGCGAATAGACAAGTGTGTTAAGAGTCAATTATTACCGATTTCGAGCTCGATCGTGAGCGTTTCTTATGTTTTTTATTCTTCTTATTCTTTTTCGATTTTGAATGATGGTGTGTGCACAAATCTTCACTTTCGCGAATAAAATCTTCCCATAGGTTTTCAGCTGATCCCTCTTTTTCATATGCATCATATGTTTCTGTGTTGATAACCACTTTCTTCGCTGTTTCCCAACTGGATTCAGATGTGAGACCGGCATCAAGCCAATTTTGCTTCAGTTCATTCTCAAGTTTGCGCAATCGTTTCGATTCTTCGCGCATACGTTCTTTTTGAATTGCTTCAGCTTTCTCAAGCATTGCATTGTAAGTTAGTTTAACATTTCCAGCATCCAGTGATGCTGACCGCTTATCTTCGCATACAACCGTTGCAAACTGTTCGAAAGTTGTGTCAGCCTTGACCGTAAAATCGGACTCTTTTAGAATTTCTTTAATGATTTTCTTCTCGTCGTGGAATCTGGCTTTGAGATTTTCTACATAATATTTAAATAAATCTAGTGGCGTCGATCCTGGTTGACCGAGCATTGCAGAAAATCTCAGATCGGCTGAAATCAATGGATATAACTCAACCCACAAAGACATTGAAGTAAGCTTTCCTTCTTCATGCAATGAATCCAGCAATGCCAAAAATGCATCACGGCTTTTACGTTGCAATCGTTTGGTTCGTTTCTTTTCATGATCTTTTTCTTCAATCTCTTCGCGCTCTTGAGTTCGTATATGTTCTTCAAATACAATTAGTGCATCTTCTTTATCCATTCCAAGTAAATTGACGTCATTTTTAAATGCAGAATTTTCGAGTAACATAACTTGAGCTTCTGACCAAGTCGTTTGGTAAGTAATTGATGTCATTGATTCAAGCACTTCCGATAAAACTCGCATATTTCGTTTTTTCATCACTCGTGCCTCTTCTTTTTCACGCTTAGCTAAATTAAACATACAATCCTCATAAATATCACGACGATCTTGATCGGGTACATTCGTCCAAATTTTCTGATTGGCAAAAATCTCGTCACATTTGTAATATTTTGTGCTCGATGATATTTTGTCACAGTTCATGAGAAATTTTTCTAAATCTTCTTTTGCTTTTTTCGCTCTGAGACGCTGCTCTTCACGTTCATCTTTTAATTTTTGTGCTTTGTACGAATTGAACGCTTGTTTTCTTTCATTTAAATTCTTAAAATTTGCATAAAGTGGATCTTTCGAAATAATCTTCATACAATTATCCCACGTTGAATTCGATGGTATATTCTTTTCTCTAAGCAGCTCTTTGAATGCTTCAACCGCTTCTTTTTTATCTTTGAATTCAACTTTTGGCTGGTCTGGACTTGGAATTGATTTATTGACGTCAGCATCAACATCTGAAATGGTAACGTACAGAAATTACAATAAGAAATTTAAATGACATGTAAATTTATGGTAAAATCTATAGCATACCATTTTTATCTTGTGGTTCAGGGACTTCAATGGCGGCCAGAGTGGCTGCCATTGCTTGATCTAATGCAGATGATGAATTTTCATTGGAGTCAACTCCATTTTCTGCTGGCGAACTTGGATTTGATGTATTGACTGTAACGAAACCATGTCATACGTAATTAATATTTAAAAAAAAAATGACGAAAACATTTAGTCCTAGCGATCTTACCTTTTGTTTGGAGAATTGGAGGGACACTGGCCATTGGTGGAATCATTGGCATTGCAGCCGCAATTGGAGGAAAAACACCAGACATCGTTGACGATGTCAATGCTGCCATTGCCCGTGCCGCATTTGCTGCCCGTCTGTTCAAAACAATTCAATTAGGTCAAATGTCAAATTAATCAAATCGGTTATGTTTTCATGTGAATACTTACTCGTCTTCGGCAATTTTGTTTTTAATTTCTTCTAGTTCGGATGGAATGTCCCATCGTGATTCTTTCGTTGTCACATGGTAATAATAGACTTTTCCATTATCAGAACAATACTCTTTCCACGGGCAAGCAGATAATAATTTTTCAGCATTTGTTTTCAGTTCATCTGGCTTTTCCCAAGCACTTTGCTTGGTAATGCTGTTATAATAATAGGTACGACCATCCGGTGATTTATGCTCAGACCACTCACAAGTTGTTTGTGGTGGAAACCCCGGCGGTGGCATACTAAACACCGGAACGGGAAAACCATTTCCTGCCATCGGCATTGGTTGAACGTTTCCCGGCGGAATATTCATTTCCTATACGTAAACAAATAAAATATTAGCACTGATTAATCCATCTCACTGATTTAAATTTGGACGAAAAAAACTATTAATAATTTAGTAAGACTCTTCTTCTAAACAAACTACAATCTACATAACCAAACTTTTTTTTTGACTAAGCATATGAACAAATCGACTGGTAATTAACTTTATTATTTATTGATAACAATTATGCACTTTAATACCTATTTCATTAGCTTTTACACACAATTCCGAATAGTTTTGTGAGTATTTATTTGTAATAAACCACGTAAATGTTCATAAAACACAAAAAATGCCTCGTACACAGTAAGAGTCTATTTGTAATTAAATACAAATGTCAAATCATCAGCATCGTCGCCGATATCCTCATTTACCAGTGCTGCCCTCAAACATAAAGCTCAACTGTCAAATTGAAGTTTACAAGAAAATATTTTTTAAAACAAATTAGAAACGTTGCAAATATATATAAATGGAATAATTATGTCGTTTTTTTAAATATAAAATCATGAATAAATCCTGTTATACTAAAACATTTAGGCTAAAGATATAAAAAATGATTTTTCTTTCAATCGATATACTATATATAATAATAAGCGGCTTATTTGTTAAAAAAACCATTATTATTTATGGTGGAATACAAAATATTTCAATGAAATCTCTGTTACATTTGTAATAAAATGTAATTTATTAACTCATATTTGTAATTTTTAGTAGAAAACACAACAAAATTCCTATATCAAGTGAATTGAACTATTGTTCAAATGAAATTCATGATATATTCATGCATTAGTTTTGGGTCTTGAGAATCACAGAGCAACGGTTAGTCTGCCGATTCAACTAAACACGGCATTCTGTATACCGAACAGCATTCCTTGGCTTTGTTCGTTTATTCAAAATAATATAAATAAATAAATATAACAGAATATAGCCTCTCTTCATCCAGCAATTTTGAGAGACTTGAATGTACATTTTTTAAAAATTCAAATAGCTGTTATATCTTTTCTCAGTTTAACTGTTGATAAATTTACTTCTAAATCCATTGAATTAGTATCACTGTTTAGTATCTTTTTTGTATAATATTAAAAAAAATAAAAATCATTGAATGTTGTAAGCATATAATTAATTGGTTCAAATTTTGTGTAATCTTCTAATTGTTAAATCGATGTTGCGGCACTGTTCATTATACTGGATATTATGCACTGAAACGTAATAGGTATTTGCTAATAAATCATACGTCCTCAGCAGGGGTCCGAGGGGTCCGATTACCCCCTGACGAAGTAGTACCCCTTCAAAATTTTCAAAGAATTCTTTCAATTTGCTAGAGATTTTCGCCGAAAAAGTGAGGAGCAAAAAAAAAAAACGAAAAAAGTACACTTTTCGCAAAATACACTTCACTTTTTTGCTTACCCCTCTCGATGTTTTTCAATTAACCCCCCCCCCCCCCCCCCCCCCTTTAATTTTTCCCTTGAGGACGTATGTAATAAACGGTAATCACAAGCAAATTTCTCAGAAAACGTCTTAAATTAGACCTAATTATATGAAATTTGGACTTTGTTTCGATTAGAAGCGAAATGCATGGAAGAAAGTTCAAAAGACAAGAAATGGCAATTAAGTACTATCAACAGGTAAACCAAATGAACCGAATAAACAAAAGAATGGTCATTTGAACAAATAATGACAATTAGCACATTTTCATTTTTAAAAGACATTGCAGATCCATGTATTAACATTTATATTTGAAAATTCAAAGAGAGCACACCACAGAAAGTTTTTAAAGTGAGGAAGTTTGTCTAAAAATTATTATAATTATTCACTAAATTATCAGAAATATTGCAAATTCGAAGTAAAAAAACGGCAATAATCATTTGAAAAATCGAAAAAAACATTAAAAAGTGAAGAAAAAATCGATTTCAAATCGAAAAGGAGTAAAAAATGTTCCTGTGTAAACTTCTATTTTTCTCCGTATTCTTTTGCTTTGTGCAATCATATCCAGCAAACACCAAGCAAATGCCCAGTCCGTTGTCGTCAAAATCGGATGACTCAAATGAGACCAGTCTTGATAATAATGACGAGAAAATATCGGAAATTTTCAATATACCCGACTCTGCTACAAACGAACCGACCAACATAACAAATTGTGATAATGTTATTTGCATTGCCTATTCAATGTGCATCGATGACAAAGTGGTGAACAATAGTACTGAATTATTTGATTGGCGAGAATCATCACGAAATTCAACGGAAAAATTCCTTCCAGGTGAATTGGTAAAGTGTGATAATATGGAGGTGCCATGCTGTGCGGATGAAGCGATACAAAATTTGAATCAACCTGCACCAGACAATAATACGCAAAACAATCAAAATGAATATGATTCAATCGAAGACTACGACGGTGACGACAATACATTTATGACCATTCAAAAATGCGGCTATGGTAAATTCATATCCAGTCGAGTAGTCAGCGGTAATGAAATGCGACCGAATGAATTCCCGTGGATGGTTGGAATATTCTTCCGATTACCAACGGATAAACTACGTTATGTTGGTGGTGGTTCATTAATTCATGAGTCTGTGATTTTAACGGCGGCTCATTTACTGCTGCAATTTACACCCGAACAACTGGTGATTCGTGCCGGTGAACACGACATTTTGAAACCAGAATCGGATGGAAAACGTCAAGAACGAAACGTAACGAATATCATCAATCACGAAGATTTGTACGCCGATTCGTTGATCAATGACATTGCATTGATCGTAGTGGATAAACCATTTAAAATGACCGATTCGGTGAATACCATTTGTTTACCACCACAAGGTATTCACACCAATGAAGATACGATCTGCACATCAGGTGGATGGGGCAAAAATGCAAACAATCATAATGGAAAATATCAAGCAACATCGAAAAAAATTGAATTACCCATTGTGGAGCAAGGCAAATGTGAAAAAATCTTAAGAAAAACACGATTGGGACCATTTTACAATTTGCATGATAGCTTGATGTGCGCAGGCGGCGGTAGACGTGATACATGTAAAGGAGACGGCGGATCACCATTATTTTGCGAAATTTCGAATGACATCGGACGATTTTATCAAATAGGCATCGTTGCCGGCGGAATTGGATGTGGGAAAAAGCTACCGGGAATGTACGTTAATGTTGCCTATTTTGGCGATTGGATCACACAACAACTTCAATTTATTAATATGAGGATGAGACCGGAAAATATTTTGCAATATGAATTGTTTGATTGAGGCAAAAAGGAGATGATTTAAGAAAATGCTTCTTTGGGGCATTTTATTGCCCAAAAAAAAACTTTGAAAAATAGTCATGTTTTTAGAGAAATCGGCAGAGTTTTTCAGCTAAACTTTAATAAAGTCAATTATTAACTAGTCATTAAGTACTTGTATTTTGCCATTCATTTCATAAGTAAATAATTTTGAATTTAACTTATAATTTTCAAGATTTGAAGTTTTTTAATAAAGAAAATTTATAAAAAGATGTTTCTTTTCTTTATTTTTCTGCATCGGGAGAATTATTTTTTGTAAAATTATCTTTGTTTTTTTTTAATTGTTTTTGAAACATCATCTGGTTAAAAAATCGTTTTTCTACGCATTTTTGATCTAGAGAATCACAGAGGTTTCTTAATCATCTTATTGTGAGGAACAAACCTGCAATCATTAGACATAATACACATATTTTGAACTATTGAGTCATGAGAAATCGAGCTAAATGGGTATCACGAATGCTCTGTCCAATGTCCATTTGCAAAAAACTGGGACTGATACACTTTTGGAGATTTATTCTGCGAGTCTATTAATTTCTTAGAACTCCATTTGATCGGCTGAGAATAAAAGTGACTTTAAGTTTTTTTAAACCGTCTCCATCTTATGTAAATCCTATACAAATTATGAGACACTTTTAAGATTTTTTCTGCTTAAAGTCTCTTTTATTACCAGCCGTACATTTGAAGTATAAAAAAGACAAAACATTTTGAAACATTGAGATGAAAAATAAATGAAAGGAAAGTGGATTCATTTTCAAAATCGCTTTATTTTTTATTTTATCTAACACGTTTAATTTGAATTAATTCTATTATACTATCTATAATATATAGGTCAAAAGATGTAAAAAAAGTTTTTCGTTCATTCGAAAAAGTATGAATTGTAATAATACGGCTAATTTGTTAAAAATATAGATTATTTACAGAATTAAAAAAATGTTGTCAAATATTTCTGATGAAAAATATTTGAAATGATTAAAATCGTTTTAAAATGCTCAATGGTTTGTAGATTTGATTATTATCTTGGCGCCTTTATCGGAATTCAATGATTTTTTTTTTTGAGAATTTTCAAGTATGGTACCTGTAATGCTATTGGTTATATTCTAAAATGTTATTATATATTTTGGTCTTTAGTGTAATTTGTGCGAATGAATTCATTGCGGCAAAGCGATCTTAATTTATAGCAGTCAGCTAATTAATAAATACATTATCGTTATATAAATTATCTACACAATCGAATACAAAATCGAGTACACAATTTGTTAGACTTCCTAGGATCTGCTCATTTGTTGCATATGGTATTGATGCGTAAGAGGTGCACTATTATTGTTTCCACTGTGCATGGGCTTTGGTTGCATTTGAGTTTGGCCATATGTAACACGTTGTTCCATTCCAGCGTTCATTGATGGTTTTCGTTCTGATCGTATTGGACCATTTGATGGTTGAGCCTGTCCATAATTGCCGGGTACGATTTGTTGTTCGCAATTTGATGTACGGCTGGTCGATTGTCCATTTGGTGTCGAAGACGATGGTGGATATGAACTATATGTGCTGTCATCAGATGCGCTTTGAGCTTGTCCTGGGCGTTTGTTTGTCATTCCATATATTCCAGATTCTGGTCGACGGTTTGAGTAAATTTTCTGTTCATCACGTGAACCTTCACGATCGAATTTGCATAAATCGTTTCCTGGGCTTGGATTGTTTCGTGTTCCATAGACTGGTTGAAAATTAGCGATTACATTATCGCCATGTTGTTGTGACTGAATTGGATTACGTTGTTCATGACGCATCGAACTGCGTATTCCATAGATGCTCTCCGATCGTTGTTGCATTTGATTTTGTACGTTTTGATTTTGTAGATGCGAATTTTGAGCATTCACACGAAGTGGATATAAACTTTGAGCTGGTACAAGTGGTCCTCCTCTTGGCAAAAATTCACGATTTATGGCTGTGTTGCTTTTTGTATATACCGATTGTGAACGATTCAAATTGGCCCGAGTGAGTGGTGGTGATTTACAGTACATTGAACGTGTGCCACCATAAATTGGTTCGAGTTGATCAGCCTTTGAACCGAGTTCGCTTGTATAGAGATTTTGACAGTAGCCATTTGGTTGTTGCATTGTTCCATTTGGTGAGCGATAAGTTGATCCATGGAATTTCGATGGTGGCATATTCAATTTTTCCATATCCAAATCAGAATTTGTATCATCATCAGAAATGCATGCCGAATCGTTTTCAAGATCTTTCAGTTTTAATGCGCGTCGTGCGCTGAACACGTATTGATAGCAGACGGCTGACATTGCTCCTCCAACAAAAGGACCAACCCAATACACCCAGTGATTTTCCCAGCGATTTAAAACAAATGATGGACCCAATGAACGAGCCGGATTCAAGTATGGCATCTGTAAGAAAATAAGAAGAAAAAATAAGAATTAATATTTTCACAAAACATAAACTTAAGATATAAACGTTTGTTTTTTTTTTTTCAATTGAGAGATATTTAATAAAATAAGCAAAAAGGTTCGAAATATTCGTGCAAAAAAAAATCGTACAGTTTTTGTACTGAACGTAATTCTATCTTCATTTTTTTGAATTTATCTTTCTTTTCTCATTGCGTACGTATTTGTGCACATTCATTTGTGTGTTCAAAGTTACGCCACCATCATTTTTCTTCAATACATAATAAAAAAAAGACTATTGTTTACGGTTCGTAAATAAAATTGAATGCCAGCTCACAAAAGATTCTTCTTCTCTTGTGATCTTTTGTTTGTGTAAATTTTCTATGCTGCATCCTTCTTGATCGTCTCTTTCACCGTATCATTCTCGTTTGCTTTTTATTATTTGCTTCAAAAGAATGGCTTGACAATAAAAACCAACTGTAAACTTAAGATTTAAGGAAGAAACCTTCGCATTCATTTTTCAATGCTTTGGCTATTTTCGATGACATTATTCGTTGTTGTAATAATTCATTACTTCGAATGTTTGAACACCTTGTTCATATTAATGTAACATTTGAACAAAGTAAAATGCGCGCAATGACCAGTAGCCATCGTTCAAAAGCATAATGCCAACAAAAGATGATAACTGTTGCATTATTGAATTTATAAGGCCAAAGTGCATACAAGCATACATAAATTCAAATACGATGATTTAAAACGACTTTCTTCCGAGAATACAAATATTTGCTGATCATATGGAATCGATACGACGATTTATTGGAAAAAGTGATGAATAACATAACATATATTATTCCATATAATAATTCAGAGCATATGCATTAGGGTGTTTCCACATGAAAAATATTTAAAAGTGGCTATTATCATTTTGAAGAGCGTTAAATTCTGTATAAGAT